AACCTATGACCTGTCCTGTTTCAAGAGGAATGTTAACTCCTACCTTCAGTTTTCCTGATAACGTATTCCTGTAAATGTACCTTTAAGGAGACATTTTCTTCGTCACAACTTATACTTTAGAGAGGCAAGGTAGATTAAAGAGACATTTCAATGGCTCCCTAATATCACAACTCCTATTTAGAGGCAACATTTTATCGTCGCAAATAGGCTAGATCGATTGCTCGTGGTTCAAAACATAAATATACCCACATTCATGGGGGTAGGATCAGGTAAAATGGGGGTAAGGGGTCATGAAAGTTTGAAAGGTTTTGTGCAAAAAGCTTTATGGAAATGTATCCCTAAGATACCACTCACGCTATACTCGTCTTTTTATTTCTCTTGTAGCCTTGTACCTTAAGTAGCCCTGTACCTTGAGCGGCTGTCGCCTTGTTCAGGTCGAATATGCATTTTTTTGAAAATGCATACCAGGGAAGTGTCCAACACGGACTTGGCCATTTTCACCGATGTGGGAAAACATTTGTATGCACGCCACAGCATTCCCCTTTTCTATTTAAAGTATCAAAATTACGCTTCTGAATTAAAAGCTTAAAGGGATTAATTTTTAAACCAACATATTTTTGTTTTTAATGCGAACAGTTATTTCAACAGTCTACTATGACACAAGGAATGTTCTCAATGCAATGATTTTGTGCACAATCTTTCAATCATCAGTTCTTAGCTTCCTGACATTATGCAGCATCAGCGGCAGGTCTTAGTCTTTCCTCGGGAGTTCTTGTGTTAAAACAAAGAGGAAAACACGGACGCGTAAGTGGCACATTAACCAACTGAGCTCAGCTCTTTCATCGAAACCCCTGCTATCTACCGTAGATAACCGAGGTAGGGAGCGCATCACTCATCGCCATGGTTTGCCCTGCGCTACCGCTTCTACTTTCATTACGATAGGATCGATGATGATTTAAAGGATACCATCTATTTCTTGGTTGTTGTGGAAGGCACTTTGGCTAATAACGGAGAGTCATTGATGCGTAACTATGGCAACGGTCTCACTACATTGCGCGCAGTAATTGCATTATGTTAGCATTTATGTTTCACAGCGACGCTCATGTTCAAAGTGAAATGTTTGTGTTTTTTTCATCAGCAAGATCCGAGGTGATATATTATTAAAGTTGGAGCCATTTCTTGAACATGTGTCACTATCTGTGTCATTAGCATTCAGTGTGGTTAAGCGTAACCAAGCTAAATCCCTGTCTGTTTCCAAATGTATGTATACTCAAACGAAACACAACGTGCAATTTATGTGTGATCCTCATGAAAAGGTATATAAATATGTATAACAAAAAGGTTAAACGGCAAGGCTGGTGCCTGACCATTATGAAAACCACTGACGATTGTGTCGTCTGGGAACCTGACAAAATGGCCACCTTGGCAACCGCAATCACCAATTTTTAATCAACCTTAATGATTATAAGGTAAGCAAGATCGTCTCGAGCCAAATAAAAAGTCACAACGAAAAGCATATTTCTGTTAAAGAGTAATATAGAAGAACATAATGATACTTTAGCCGCCTGTCTGCAAATCCTGCCCATAAATGCACTATATATGTTAACAAAACAAATACGCCTCAAACCAAAAGCAATCCATTTATTCGATTTCGAGAGCGACCGTAATAAAGTTATGTAGCAAGCCTGCTAATGTCCCCTACTCGGTCTCTGCGATTTTATGCACGGATGCGCGATAAAATCCCAACTTGGCCCGCAGGGGATGAGAGAGAAGTGCTAGGCAAGGGTCGGCATGATTCGATAGTCTCAACGAAGACGCCTTCGCAAGCCGATGGCATTTGCAGGAGTATCTTATTAATAATCAGCTGTGAATAAAAAAGATGTTTAAAGTAAGATGTGGATGGAATTTCTCTTCGTTGTATTCTTATCTTAGGGCATCGCTTTGTATGTCTATGGTTGTCTTTTTTTGCCTCTGAAGTAGGGTCGGTCGGTCCAAAAAGAATAAACATCTGAGGAAAGAAAATTGCAGTTGCACCCGTATAGATGGCGAAATTGAATGATGCCAAATGCGTATTGTCTCTTGGTTTGTTTATTGTAATGAGTCCATCGTGAGTTGATATCACGGAATAAAATAATGCACCATTTTTGGCAAGATGTAGTTTGACTTTAATATGCATCAAGTGTAACGTTTAGGCTGTAGTGGCAGCCACGATATACCAGTAAAGGTATGCTTTGATGAGACACAACGCCCTCTCATTTTCTGGGATTCCACTGGTTGCTATACGTCGTACTTCTTGTAAAAATCTGGATTCATTTTCAATAGAGCTATGTCAAATAACTCAAAGCCCGATTGCATGATATTAATATTCATAATTCTGTTTCATTTGTTAATTTTTATTTGTGAATGGGGTTCCAGACAGGGTCGGCGATAATTCAAAGTTTTCTTTTTCTTGGTTCGGAAATGAGAACCAAAAACATAAAAAGGGATGCCCTTATGGACGGCTGCAGTATGAGACTAGCTGCCATGAAAAAGGTCTGGAAGAAATTCTGAGCAGAAACAGAACATTCTGGTTTCCATTGACTCATGATCATCTCAATCGATGCTTATGTTATGCCGGTGAAAGTGATTACCGTTCCTATTGATTTTCATTGTGCAAGATTTGTGAAAAGGGCCTAAAAGTAGCTCCGGCGGGCTTGTGACTCATTTTGTTGGGTAGGTTCCCAGGAAACTATTGACCTTTCTGCAAAATTCCAAAATAATTTGACGATCATGATTTCAATGTTCCTCATCGACACAGTGTATTCGTAATTTAGGTACATGTATATATTTTTATTCATTTTTGTGTAATTTGTGATGTGTTTTTAATATAGGTTTTCCCGGCCAATTTCCCAAAATGTTCATTCACTTCTGAAAATCGGTCATTCATTTTTGTCTGAATTTGAGAATCGCTCTGAATATGCGTTTCATTTTCGCTACCAGAGCATTGGATTCCATTTCAGTTCAATAAATTAAGTGATTGAGCAGCACATTTCGTTTATGTCCATTCAGATTCGTTTACAAGACTTCTTTTTCGCTTTTAGAGGGCGATTTCAAACATTTACCATTCTATTTCACTTTTAGTTTAATGCCATCGGCACCAGAAGATACAATTTGTTGTTTCTTTTTCATTAACCGTCATTCAAATTAGCTGAACCTGAAATCAATTTAGAAAAAGCATGCTTGCGTAAAGGAATGCACAGGTTACGTAATTGGTAGTCTGTTTCTCAAAACCGAATGCACGGGACAATGACAACGATTGAACTTTCATTGAATTGTAGGCCTAATGGGATTCAAGACGTGTATTCAAATTCACACGAAAACGAATGACCGATTTTGAGAAGTGAATGAACATTTCACGAAATTGGCCGGGAAAACCTATACTTAACTTATTACCTCCCTCCACTTTAGCCAAACCATGATCCGCCCCTGAGCCGTAAAAAAATAATCAATAACCACCTTTTTTATGCTAAAAGCGGCCTTATTAAATCATCTTCTTGTGGAACAGGCACGACCATTAAAAAAAACATGTGGGAAAATAATAGGCCATAATTATATGCGTTGCTTTCCCCAGAGGACATTCTTTGTTACATGTGCATGTATTATCATTTCTTAACAATGATCGAGTAAGAGGTTTACTCAATCATAAATATGAACCCCGTAGAAATCTTCGATCAAGCTCACAATCCCTGCTCGCCTGCTCCTCAACATCGACAAGGTCATACGGTCAGCGAGCGTTTTCATCTGCAGCCCCAACCCTCTGGAACAAACTACCCAATCCCATCAAGGAAGCTCCAACCTGGACGTTTTCAAAGCTAATCTTAAAACCCATCTGTTCACTATATAATGTTAGTGTTTTCCTCTGTTAATTGTTCAGCGCATTGGGACCCCGTGTAAAATGCGCTTTATAAGAATGGTTTATTATTATTATTATTTAGGTCTACACAAAACCATGGTTTTGTTGCCTTAAACTCCGCCCTGACCGAATACGATTATTGCTTCCAGGAGCAATCATCTCGACATGTTTACTGGATTTAACAAAATCAACCACTCAAAACTAATCCATGTATTCCACCTTTAATAAGCAGGCCAATCACCGCGATACCGTATCGAGCCATGAGGATCTCATCTCCCGGCCGATTTTATTTTGGTATCCGTCAAAATTGGATTTTCATTTAACATCCCTTATCAGCTTACCCGTGCTTCTGTCGCCCGAAATACTGGCGATAATCCCCCCAAAAAACATCCCGGGTTTTTATTGTCGCGGTATCTTTCTGTCGATCGCTGGGACATTTACGGTTTTTTTAATTTACGGTAAGAGATGCTCCTCTCACCAGGACGCTGCGCAGTAATTACCTGGGCATCGCTGCATTCCGACGGCCTGGGGTCATGCTCGTAACAGCATGCTCACCGGACTTTTATTCCTCTCGATGTTCACTCCACGGTTGGCATAACACAGGCTAGGACGATCTGTAATGACATTATTTCGAGTTATGAAATGTCATAATTTGCAAAGTGATCTGTTCTTTTAATATTGTGAAAGAGTTGCTACATAAAAGTGTTGTTAAATTGCTATATCATCGTTTCCATAATTTTCCATCAAAATCTTACGTTTCTGTAAAAGATATTCCCAGAGCTAAACATTTTCTTAAAACTTTTACTTCATCTTGGACTCAATTATCAGTAATCTTTCGTCCAACCTAATATCAAGAAATTCTTAAAATAGGCCATATCCGGGTTCAAAAGTGAAAAGAAATATCTCGATTATCAATTCAAGAATTATGATGTTGTAGACAAGTATTTTTGGAATTGCAATAACGTTTTCAAGTTGGCCCTACGTCAATGACTATGGCCGTGTAACTAATTACACGCGCGTACGGAAGCGGCTGCAGCCTTTTCCCATAGACCAGTGTGCTATGTCCAGCCGTACAATATATTTTTTTTTCGTCCCTTTTGTTTTACAGTTAGCCGGAGTCGCTATGCTAGGATTCGGGCTATGGCTTCGCTACAGTCAGCAATTCTTCCCGAATCTGACGCCCTCTGGCGACGAAGAGGCGGTGTCAGCCGTGACGGCTTACAACATCGGAACCTACGTCCTGATGGCCGCTGGGGGCGTCATCATGGCCATTGGAATTCTGGGATGCTGTGGGGCTATCAAAGAGAGTCTCTGCTTACTAGGATTGGTAAGCGAACCAGTCCGCACGACAGTAACTGCTAAGCAATAATATTTTGAAAACGAATTAAATTGTTGCAAACTGCGCACAACGTCCAATGTGGCCCTCAACGAAAAACACTTGAGGACACCATTTTGAGCCAGATTGGGAATTTGCTTATTTTTTTCACAAGATAGTTTTCGGATTTTTTTTCTCGCCCATCCCGTGATCAGCAATTCATGCCTTGTACTTAAAATGTTTAAAATGATCTTGTGTATAAAGCATGATTTGTGTAAATATTCCTAAATCACTTGTAAGTATTAGACAGTGTTCGAAGTCTGTTTCACCTATGCACGTTTTCCTCGTGACTTTTAGTTTGCTTAACTTTATCTAATTCGGTATGCAGGGTCTCAATGGCAACCATATTTAAACTGGTTGGACATACCATTGGTTTAGAAATGTAATAAATAAATAAATAAATTCGAGTTCTTATTCATTAAACCCCAAATGCTATCATTTCCCCCTGTTTTTTCTTCTCTCTTTGAAGTATTTTGTGGTGCTGTTCCTCCTATTCGGCATGGAGGTAGGAGCCAGCGCGTGGATCTACCTCAACAGGGCGGAGCTAGGCAATAAAGTAGGCGACTATTTCGAGTTACTCGTCACGGAGAAATACGCAGACGACGAGGCATCGCGTGTTGCAGTAGACTACACACAGTCTAGTGTAAGTGCTGCCATAGGGCGCCCTCTAATGTCGATACAATCAAACTGGCAGGCAAACTAATTTAACCGACCATTTAAAGGCATGGGATCATTTCGTCGTGATCAAAGGTTGTATGTCATATCTAGGTTTTGAGTCGTTACTCTAATAGTTTAATACTTTTCGTATTTTCCACTTACTTCATTTTTCCCCCTCGTATTTTCCACTTAACTCTATTTTTTATTTCAAAATAGAAATCATGTTATCTTATTTTCCAGTTCTGAGCATTTGGCTTGAAGAAAGTGCAAAATGAACATAGCTGATATCACATCAGGAAAAGAATATGAAGTTCGACGACTTTCGAGATACGACGTTTTTGCACAAAACACTACCATTTAGAATGTTGCTTATAAACGCGCTGATTATTATTAACCTGTTGATTTGGTACATGCGTAGTTGGAATGCTGCGGTGCCAACGGACACGAAGATTGGCTGGACTCTGGCCAGGTCATTCCGAGGTCATGCGGAGTGGTCAACTGTACGTCTGATTGCCGACCCGATGAAGGACTCCATACTGATGTACGAATACAAAACAATGCTTGTATAGCTTTCTTGCGTAATTATTTGCAAAGTACTGGTCTTTGTAAGTACTACTGTTGGTGGTCTGTCACCCATGCACATTTTCCTTATGAATTTGACATATAAATTGCCTTCCCCGTGCTTTTCGAGTTTCTTCCCGAAAAATAGAATCCTTTTCTAAATTGCTATATTTTTCCAGCAATACAAAAGCTATTCCATTTTGAATGATACATCGACCGAACAGTAGTACTTTACAATTTGGAAGGATTGGCTGCGAGACAATAAATATGTTCAAGCCACAATCCACAATCTTTTGATTGAAATAAACTTGTACCAATATAATTAAATAATTGTGATAGTTCCGCCATGTTTGTTAACCAAGAAAATGGCGGCGTTATAGCGCCCTCTTCCGCTCAAAAAAATTACCACTTTTCAAATAAAAATGGAGGCGGGCGGGGAAAAGGAAGTGGATGGGTGAGAAACTCATGGTTTGTTTTCTTTTATTTGGTCTTATTTCGTTACAGGGGTGCAAATCCAAAGTCAGCGAGATCATTCAAGGCAACATATTCACTCTAGTCGGGGTGTGTATATCGGTAGCAGTCGCACAGGTAAATACTGACCGGGGGTATAAGCAGTTCGATCTATTCAAACTATGAAGGCAAAATAAAAGTTTATGATTTTGTTCAAGTATTTCGTTTTACACTCAGATCAGCATGCATCTATGCTTTTACTAATTAAGCAGTATAGCAGCCGCTGAATTGACCAAAGCCAGTCAGCCAAAAGGCACACATGAGGGGCCTGTAATAATGGCAGTGACTGATAGGCCTACCAAACCCTTCAAAATAACTTGACAGTGCTTCAGTTTTGTAAAAAGATAAAAATCCATCCCTTACCTTTTTTCAAACATGGTCGTTTTTTTTCCCGCCAGATTTTGGTGATGATCCTCGCAGCGTGTCTGTGCAAAGCCATACGTCGGGCCGACTTGGAGTACGACAAATGTGGCACCGTCTGAAGGGCGCCCTCATGCGGCAGACTGACACCACATCAAAGGGCGCCCTCTGGGGCATTATCACGTGTCCGTTCAATTATTTTCGTGGGACTACTTACACAAACCATGATAACCATCATCAGTTAAGAGACATAATTTCGAGGAAACCAAAAGAACTATTGTTCGGGGTATGTTTTGTTCGTCATATCAAGCGATCGAAAATTTGTAATAAAAAACCGTATCCTCTCAGAGTGATCCCATTTGCTATTTCCAAGGTTTGCAGCATTGCTAATGTTGCTAGCATCGTGACTTTGGGCGTGATTCCTGGCTACATGGCATATTTGGGTTTATGGCTTCTGACTATCGCCCCTTGAACAAAGATATTGAACAAAGGGGGAACCGCCAACATAGGGCTGGATAGCTCAGTCGGTAAGCACCAGAACGGTTATCCAGAGGTCACAGGTTCAAACCCCGCTTCACTCAATTTCTTTCTTCAACTTTTGAAAAATGAAAAATATTCTTACTGACATTCTTTAACGGGATTTCTTTGAACTTTATTGAAATAGCTAAATTTTGAAAGTGAAAAACACATCCTTATTTTTACACATGCCCAGGGTCAAACCAATCCAAAACTTTATTGAGCGATGTTCTATCTGGAGGCTCCTATAGTCCTTTCCTGTTTAATAATTCGATTTGTTTTAACTATATACACAAAGTGTCATCTTCGATTAATTAGATTTAATTATTGTTCAACTTAGAACGAGAGAAAGTGGTTAAAATGTAAATATTGAGTCTAACATCTATTATAAATTCAGATATTTCCCAATACTTTGACTTTTTAGTACTATTTGTAATAAGACGTCATCCCACTGTATAGAATCCATCATCGGGTGTGAAATACTTAAAGTTGACCTCCATTTTAATTTCTTATCATGATATGTATAACCACTCGTTCTTTATCTCAATATTAGGTAGTCATGGTTGTATATAAAACAGATCGTCCTTGAATAAAATAGTTCTTTGAAGTCCAAAATACAATCTAAATGTCCAACATGATTTACTGTATTGTTTGCGAGGCTTAATTTTTACTAAAATGCATGAAAAATCTGTACGTTTTTCGCTTCATTCTCAATGTGATTATGGCATATTCCAAATTAGTCTTTAAATCTGATGACCTCTTATAATTAAAGCTAAGGTTGCCAAGTGCTTACATATATTTTTCAGGCCAAACAGTAATTTTTATAGCTTGCGAGATAATGTACATTTACCTAAAATCATAAATAACATAATGTGACATATTTCTTGTTGATGACTTTCTCGATGACGTATCTTCGTGGTTAGACTTGAAGTTCAGCACAGCCTTCTGTCTAAATTATCCACTTTATTCTACGTACTCTGACGTCACGGTGACGTCATTAGACGGCTGACTCTAAGCGTCATACTCATCTTTTCTGAAACACATGCTGACGCACGCGATGACTGTCAAGGCTAACCACGTGACCAGAGAGACCCAAGAGGCGATCTACAAAAAGACAAATTAAATTTCACAATGTCAAGACAGGAAAGACTAACCGAGCCCAGTTTACTGGTCTTAACCCCTTAAGCACGGGTTATAATGGGGACATTCCTCCACACATAGAGCAAGTGGCCCGCATGACTGCACAGCCTTTGTGTGGTAGCGGGACAGCACAAAAGCAGCAGCTGTGGAACTACCCACTAGCCGTGTGCCACGGCATACCACAGCTGGCAACTGCATTCCAATGAGGATTAGCGGCTGCGGCCATGACCGCTTCCCGGGCCCATGGGGTTAAGTGTAAACAATATATTCAGGCGCCATTCGGGCGATTCACAATGCAGTGGAGAGTCCATTTTTTCAAGTTTACGATCGACAAAACATGGTCAATGTGAATGACTGTCGGTAGACAACTTGAGCTAATATGTACGAAAGCCCTGTAGTGCCATCAAGTATATATTTCGCTAAGTTCGTTTTTATGAGTTATATATTTGGCCAAGTTCGTTTTTATGAGTTATATATTTCGCCAAGTTCGTTTTTATGAGTTATATATTTGGCCAAGTTCGTTTTTATGAGTTATATATTTCGCCAAGTTCGTTTTTATGAGATACATTTTGTCGAAGTTCGTTTTTATGAGATACATTTTCTCGAAGTTCGTTTTTATGAGTTACATTTTCTCGAAGTTCGTTTTTATGAGTTACATTTTCTCGAAGTTCGTTTTTATGAGATACATTTTGTCGAAGTTCGGTTTTATGAGATATATTTTACGGAGTTTTATGAAGTTACGGAGCCCCTAAAGGGACATCCAAAATTATTTTCTTATCTCGTGCGCACGACATAATAGGGAGGTTTCGCAAGCGAACGGATACGCTTACACTTACGTTTAGCTATCCGTATCCGTTTTTTAATTACATGTAGCGAGCGAGATATGCGTGTCGTCTGCACGTATGACGTCATACGCCACTCACTATCCGCTAAACGTGCAGACGACACGCATATCTCGCTCGCTACACGTAAGTAAAAAACGGATACGGTTAGCTAAGCGTAAGTGTAAGCGTATCCGTTCGCTTGCGAAACCTCCCTAATATCTCGTGCGCACGAAATAATTATCACAGGCGCACGACATATATGACGTGCGCACGACATACTATCTCGTGCACACGACATAATATCTCATGCGCACGAGATAATTATCACGTGCGCACGACATATATCTCGTGCGCACGAGATAATTATAAGTATTAACGGAGCTTGCTGCACGTGCAGCGGACAAGTTTGTTTGTAACGAAAGCAGCGTGTCTGGTACGGAGCCCCTAAAGGAACATCCAAAATTATGTTTTTATCTCGTGCGCACGACATGCGCAAGCTCCGTTAATGCTTATAATTATCTCGTGCGCACGAGATATATGTCGTGCGCACGAGATATATGTCGTGCGCACGAGATATATGTCGTGCGCACGACATATATCTCGTGCGCACGGGATAGTTATCTCGTGCGCACGAGATATTATGTCGTGCGCACGTGATATATGTCGTGCGCCAGTGATAATTATCTCGTGCGCACGAGATATTATGTCGTGCGCACGGGATAAAAAAATAATAATGGATGTCCCTTTAGGGGCTCCGTAACTTCATAAAACTCCGTAATTCCGTAAAATATATCTCATAAAAACGAACTTGGACAATATATAACTCATAAAAACGAACTTGGCCAAATATATAACTCCTAAAAACGAACTTGGCGAAATATATAACTCATAAAAACGAACTTGGCGAAATATATAACTCATAAAAACGAACCTTGCGAAATATATAACTCATAAAAACGAACTTGGCGAAATATATAACTCATAAAAACGAACTTGGCGAAATATATAACTCATAAAAACGAACTTGGCGAAATATATAACTCATAAAAACGAACCTTGCGAAATATATAACTCATAAAAACGAACCTTGCGAAATATATAACTCATAAAAACGAACTTGGCGAAATATATAACTCATAAAAACGAACTTGGCGAAATATATAACTCATAAAAACGAACCTTGCGAAATATATAACTCATAAAAACGAACTTGGCCAAATATATAACTCATAAAAACGAACTTGGCGAAATATATAACTCATAAAAACGAACCTTGCGAAATATATAACTCATAAAAACGAACTTGGCGAAATATATAACTCATAAAAACGAACTTGGCGAAATATATAACTCATAAAAACGAACCTTGCGAAATATATAACTCATAAAAACGAACCTTGCGAAATATATAACTCATAAAAACGAACTTGGCCAAATATATACTTGATGGCACTACAGGGCTTTCGTAAATATGTTTCAGATTGGGGCAAAGCGATCTGTCAAAAACGCAATATTGATAAAAAGAAAAGGGCAAACAGATCCTCGAATCATACGCTTACGAAACTACTGACCGGAAAACACTAAAACGTTTAAATGTCCCGCCCGCGCTGCACAATGCACTGGGACAAAAAACTCTCCGTGCAAACTCTGGGTGGCGTACTGCATTGTGGATCGCCCTTATTGATTCACATTTGAAGTCTAGTTTCATGCATGTGGTCTACACAACGGGCCAAATTTATCCAATTCGTTAGCGTTACTGGGTAAGCACTGCCAGGCTGACAATTAGGTTCAACAGTCGGGGAGTCAGTCAGTCAGTCTGTCATACGGGGAGTCAGTCAGTCAAGATGTGAGACAAGTACGGAGTGAACATTAGAATGACCCTCTCGCAAAATTTGAAAGTTGATAGAAAAGAGGCTTGTTTACCGTGGACATTTTGAGGAAACCGTAGAAATCCACGTCCGTTCCATTCTGTTCATTGTAGACGAGTTGGTTGTCTTCGCAGCTAGAAGGAGAAGGAGTGAATCCCAAAGTTTACAACAACAAAAAAGATAAATACAAAGGAACGTGGTTAGTAGTAAGACAATGACGCAGAAATGAGTTAACGTCGCAACACTTAACCTTATCAGAACAGGATCAGAGGGTATTTTAGGTTTCACCTGACTCCTTACATATTCTCCTGAAATGTTGCAGAAATATTGGTCGGCCAACAATCTATAACATGACTTCATTTGGTTGCACTGTGGTGACTACCATAGGGCGTTTTACTATACGTTTTGTTTAAAAACAGTATTTTTTACACATTGCTTCATTTTTTCGTTCAAATGCTTTCACATTTGGCTCAAACATCCATGACGTCAAAGCCACCACTAGAGGGCGATAAGATCATCATTTAAACATCATTTTCGGGTTTGGAGTTATTGAATCAGCTTTTCTGCCCTATAGAATCAAATGTAGACTTCATTTATTTTCGGGGACGAAAACAAGCGGGGGGAGACGATATGATATCCCCCAGTTTAAAAAAGTGTTCCCCCGTCCCCCACCGATTGTATAGACGCCACTATTTACCTGGAATCCTCGGGCAGGGCTGAGTTGGTTTCTATCATCGATTCACAGAATCTCACAACTCCGTAGTAGACCAAGATGCACTCAATCAACACGCACGCCACACACACAATATAGATCACAATCGACAACACGCGGAAGCATTTTCTGAAAAAAAATGACGATAAATTGTTAAGTTGGACCACTCCAGGAAAACTTTGGGGAAGTGAAAAGGAACTAGTTGACTGAGAGGTTCGTAAATTACCGAAGTATAAACACCGGTCGGTGAAGGGCAAAACCTAATGCATGTATTGCATTTACATCACCCCAACGCAAATTCCATTTTACGAATAGAGGTCCGTATAGTTACAAAGAAAATTTATTGAAATGAGTTCATATTAAAGCAACAGCACCCTCATGTGACAGAGCATAGTTGACACTGTAAATAGTTTTACAACATTCCATTTTTATAAAACTGAACTCAAAAAGGATTTCCTTTATTATCATACAATTTCCAAACAGTTACCAATCAAAATTCAGGTGGTTTTTTTTGTCCCTTTAAAGTGAGCTTGTTTAATTCAAAAAAAAAAAATCACATAGAAACTCTCGGCCATGAGAGGTCGCTATTATTAAATTTAGGCAGTGCGCCCTCTCGTGACAATATTTCTAAAATATAGATCATTGACATTGGCATCAAAACGAATGATCTCTTACATGTCCAACTTCTCACACGGTATGTTAAGGCACCGATAGACGGCGCTTACGGCCGCCACCGCGCACACAGCAAACTGGAAGACCAGACTCAGATCACATCTTGGTTTGTCGCCCTCTACGGCACCTCCGGTCCAGTTGAAAGTCCCATAGAGTAAGCAGTTAGAGTCTGGAATCTCGTCCTGGTTTGAAAATGCACCAGGTGTTAGTTGACTACAAAAGAATGCTTAGCATTAAGACGTAACATAAGCAAAAACATAGCTGAGAACCAATGACAGGCATTCAGGAATTTCTGTTTGTATTTTCTTGGGGGGGGGGGGGCTGAACAGCTGCTCTTCAGATGTGAAAGCCTTAGCGTTTAAGGCTTTGGTTCGTCCCGGACTTGAGTATGGTAACGCAGTTTGGGACCCCCACCATGGAACTCACAAAAACACCATTGAAGGAGTGCAACGGAGAGCGGCTCGCTTCGTCACTAAAGATTACAGTAGGGAAACTAGTGCAACTGTCCTACGGTAGAATATTGAAATGTTACACACTAGAGGATCGTTGAACAAAAGCCAGACTTACAACAATTTATAAGGAAACCCATGGTTTGATCCCAAGCAACATTGAACAGTTTCGTCACAATGACTCGCACCACTCACGTCGTATGAATGGAAAGTACTCATATAGAACACCTATAGCTTCAATAAAGATTGCCTGAAGTTCTCACTGTACCCAAGATCTATCCCAGAGTGGAATCTTATCCCAGAAGATATCCGCTCCCACACCAGACCTGAATGTCTTCAAGTCAACCTTGGACTACATCAATGTTAGGAATCTAGTAAGCCGCGCCCACTTCAGAATCTAAGCTCGCATGCCACATTTGACCACTGTACCGAGATAGTCCAACTGAGGGCGTTGTGTATGAGCAGAAGCAGCAGCAGAAGTGTTTAAACATCATACAGCTATCAAAAAGGACTGAATTACACATTACACATACCTAGATGATATACCATAAAGTTTTGTTAATGAGACCGCAAATGGGGATTTTAAATGAGGATTTTAAATGGCAAAATCTTGTGTGACCCACTATTGAAATTAATGCGAATTAACGGCGGCCAATATAAAATGCTTAATCATTTTTACTGTACAAAGGAAAGAGCTTATGGCGAATCTAAGGAAGTTTCAAACTCACCCGAGCGAGCAGCAGGGAGATGCTAGCCGTCAATCCAGCCGCTAATGCCCCCAGAAGAAACACCGTCTCCACGAGGATCAAGCAACGGGAACAAGCCGACGACATTGTTAAAGATTCAAATGCTTCAAAACAACTCTAACAAAAACTCTCAAAAAGATCTGAACGCTGATACACAGGGAGAAACCAGAGGTTGCTACAAAAACAAATGTGTTCGTAATTTCTTTGGCGAGAAGCTTTGTATATTGATAAAATTAAAAACTATTTCTCCAAATTCAATTGTCGACCAGATGCGTGAGGAGAAAGAATAAACTAAACCGACTGCACTCTTGACGAAACTGAGAATGTTCCAAATCGGAAAATCAAGGACCACGAATGCTAACTAGTATCAGGCAATATTTAATGAAAACATTTTAATCCCACACATTGTGTTTGCTTTGGCGTGAAATCTAATTGCCCGTGGAGATGATGTCACGTAATTACCAAGCGGTATTACGTAATCGAACAAAGTCCACCAAAAAAAGGCGTTCCTGCCCTTAATAATCCGATCAGGGAAATATCGCTGAGATGAAAAACCTCTAGAAACCAAATACAAACATTAATAGTTGCTAAGATCAAAATGATACTGACTGAAAGGTGCACGTTACTCATGTTTTATTTTCATTCAGTCGTTCATTGGTGAAGACAACTCACTTAGCGACAGAGAAGTGTATTAGTTACAGTCATGAACGGCTGTTCGTGATTTCAGCTTATTTTCAAGCATTGGCACTAGCTGCGTGCATCATTATGATATACTCAGAGAACTATTCGAAGGGCCAATCTAGAAATTTGGCGTCAGAAGTGTGACTTTTTTGTCACTGTTTATACACATGACCTGTGTAATTTGCCATTCCAGTACCATTAAAATTGACTTCAAACTATTTTTTTTTTGGCATGTACGAGATAGAAGGCATTAATTATTCTGCTCCGTTACTTACTAAATTAAATATATTACAATGTAATGACTTATACCACCTTAATCTGGGAAACTTCATGTATTTTGTTTTACCTCAACATCTAACATCTTAACATCTTGTTTTACCTTAACATCTAACATTCATGTTAATAACACTCGGAGAGGCATCTCATACTGGAATATCTTAGATGAATCTCTTAATATAAATCATTACCATCACTGTCTGTCTTTGTGAAAAAATAAAAACTCAGTTCCTCGAATCCTGTTAACAAATTAAGGTGTTTTTGTGAACTAATAATTAGGCATTGTCTCACACTTGTATTGCTCTTGTTGTTTTTGTTTATATGTCCATGTTACAGTACATAGTTGCATGTTTGTCTGAACATATACGAAAGCGTTTTGCTTAAACCTTTAAATGTTGTCATGTAATTTGTTACTTTACATGGTGGATCAAAAAAAAAAAAGCCCGAGATATTATTGCTTATTGCAACAGAAGTAGGGCACATGTGAATCAAAACGAGATATCTTCTGTTAGGGTTGAATCTCCTCTTTAAAATGACACCCTGATCATGTCATTACATTCACGGTTGACTGAGCAATGACCAATTTTATGAAAGAGTAACTATTTAGAGAATTGCGCCACTTTTCAATTGTGGTTTTTGCTGTGTCAATTGTCTCAGAGTGAAAGGCTATAGTTGCCAATCAAGGCAGGTGGGGAAAAAAGAAGAGATTTCACCATGAAAAGTGGCGCAAGTCTCTAAATAGACCCTTTCATAAAATTGGTCACTGCTCAGTCAACCGTGAATGTAAGGTCATGATCAGGGAGCCATTTTAAAGAGGAGATTCAACCCTAGCAGAGGATATCTCCTTTTGATTCACATGTGCCCTACTTCTGTCCCAATTAACAATCTTGGTTTCGTTTTTTTATCCACCCTGTATTATTAATCACTATGTACATATCAAATATCACATTATAATTGTATTCCTTATGTAATTTATACATGTTTTTACATATTGTAAAGAATGGCATCATTGAAATAAATGTTACAGAATTGAAAAGAATGTGCCCGAATTTACATTATATATCAAATGGAACAGAGACACGAAAAAAAATGGACCCCAAATTAATGGAATGGCCCAGAAACAAAATATTGTGTTGTCCTGGGTGTGGTTTCCTTTCTCCAAAAAATTGTGAATATTTTCTGAAAATAGGATATTTTTTTAATAATACTGAGATCCCTAAATGTTGGCAATATTTGAGAAAACCTTTTGAAAATGTGATAGAACCGAAAGGATAGTTTGTTTTATTAATCCAGATTACGAGCATTATCTAGAGATTAGAATCGATATGGATTCATGAACACACCTCGTGACGTCACCAGGTAATCCAACATTCCAGAGATTTTCACGCGGGTGAATCACGGGTCCGAATGGCCACTATATAGAAACAATTCGTCCGTTTGACCTGGGGTCAGCTTCATTTAAATATTAAACGCGCATAGTGGACACTGCGTTACGCGTGAACGCGCACTTGAGAATATAGACCAATCAGACTACATGGAAAGGTAAAAACGACGCAAAGCAATCAATCAGAGATATGTAGCTGATCTTATTTTTATCGTAGGAACTTTTGTAATGCTAATCACTGTGACAACAGAGGGCGTGGGAAGCGTCACTCTAATACTTCGGTAAAAGTCAAATGAAAAATGTAAGCAAAACTTTAAGCAGATTATCTTGTACATTTCGGTTAAACCTTTAAGGCTTCAATTTCTCGCGAAATCTTGTACATTCTCGCAGTCAGCATGTAAAATCAAAAGTAAGCCTACATTGTGTTCGGAAAGTCTCGTCTTTTAGAACCAGAAATGTTGACATTGATTCCCATGATCGTTCAAACTGACTTAATCTGACGTCAACAGACGTTAGACTTGACTAAGTCTTCTGATCCTCCCCGGCGCCATAGACTAGCATCTGTCTGTCGCTTGGCTGTGGTGCATGTCGTTGCAGGTGAAATTGAACTCCAGCCAGTATGGTCAGACTCAACCAGGTAAAGGTCGAGATCCAGGACGCCACCTACGGCGGATAAGAGAAAGCCGGTCTTGAAATTACGGGTTCAGTCCGGCACTGGGGTCATGAACTTAAAGATTAGTCACTTTAAATAATGTGGCAAATTTTGACTAATTTCGAAGACAAAATATAGTTTGAAATAACATACAGCATTGAAAATTAAACAATGGGAGTTTCAGCTGTACAAATGTAAAAGTAAACTAGAAATGTGTTTACATAAAAGTGGAAAAAGGTCTATTAAAAACCAACAGAGGTAAACAAACGCATATACAAGCCACTTTTGATGAAGTCAAGGTACAGCTCTACAATCAAAGACTGTTTTATACAATATTTCTACATGTTCATATAATGCATTTCACACATTTCGATTTACGATTCGCTCGTGAATTGAAACAATTTAGGCCTTTGGGCTACCCCGACATTTTCTGGGTTGGGAACCAGTCTAATTGCTGCAGGGAGATCTTACTGTCAGGGGTGTTTTTATTTGCAGCACATAATCGTCAATTGATCATGATCATTCAGCAAGTACATGTTTATTCATAAGAAAATAACAATGACGTCACACGATTGCTATCACTCAGTCATGCATGTACAAAGAACGGTTTTCGTCGAGATGCCACAGTGGCTCAGTGAACTATGGATTGTAAGATCTGTGGTTCGAACCCATGTCCATTTTCATCAAATATTTTTGTTGGGGTAAGTTTAATTGAACGGAAAATACTACGAGAACCTAAATGTCTTCCATCCACACATCGTGATAAATTTTCCTGCTAGGATTCGTGAAGTGATTGGTTAAAATACGATGTATGCTGCAGAAAAAAATGACTTACCGTCACTATGCTGAGCTCACTACAGAAGTTCAGGCTCAGGTCTTGGGAACTCTTATCTGCTGCTTTCTGCAATCCGGCCTGGACCTGGTCGCAACTGCAATGTAAATACAAACTCACATGTCTTAATACAACACTATATCAATCACTGAACACTATAAATTATATGCTCACTTGCTCATGGACTTGGTTCTTGGTTCTTGGTTGGTTCTTCTCCTGAATATTCCGCGTGGCAGTTTAGGAGGCCAGAAACAACACCGGGGCAAACCCCTTAACCTCTTAGCGACAAGTGTTACTAGGTTCTTTAACGTGCATTATACAACACACGGGACCTACGTACGGCTTTACGTCCCATCCGAAGGACGAAGCAAGAATGGTAAAGTGCCTTGCTTAAGGGCATGTCCAGACCTGGGCTCGAACCCACGTCACTGTTGCCTCTGAAACACCAGAGCATGAGTCTGGTGCTGATAACCGCTAGGCCATGACACTCCGTATGTGTGTGTCATGGCCTCATGTAGCAGACAGTAGGCCTCATCATCATGACTTGTACAGCAGATATCAGGCCATGTGTGTCATTATGTCTGCTACACCAAAAAGTGGCCAATGTGCCTTGAAGCTGGGGGAACGCACAAAGCTCACAAGATCAAAGATTTTGAACATAATATTTGAATCATAATAATGTCACGTTTGGGCGATGACTATGTGACGATCAGTGCTCATTTGTGACGTAACTTACGCCTGCGCACTAAGTACCGACGCGCGTGACGCCTCTAGTAAAAAAAAAATCCTGCAGCGGCTGGCTCCCCGTTGTACGTAACAATGCGGGCTGCAGCTCTGATATATCTTTATATAGGTCATGATAAGTTACCCAGAATGTCATCCCCACTTCCTTCACAAGATTCTGTGAAGCTCATCAGCCCTTCCCAGCGCCCTGTTTGCAGTGAGGACGGATGTACGAGCGAAGCGCGCGCGCTACGTACGTATATGATAAACAGCAGCCAGGCGCAGATCCAGGGGGTGACACCCCCCCCCCCCCCCCCCCAGCTAGCTCTGTCAACGGGTTCAGAGTGGCAGAGAAAGGTCTCTGGGGTCTCTTACGTTTTGGGGTCAGTGTAGGTTTTGTAAACCATGGCAGATCCAAGAAACCGGTTGACACCAACTTGGAGGATGATGCCCTCAACGAGGACGCCCAACGTGCACATCGCGTAGAGAGGCACGGACATTGTCCGTAGGAAGGACCTGTACCAAGTTTAGGGATGACAAGATGAATAGGTCAGGTAGCCGCCAGTAATACATTGTAAAACAAATATAAGTCACGTGACTAAAACGGGGAGAAATGCCTCCCGTTTCCGAAAATGACCGTAGTTTGCCGAATACATTCGGCAAACTTCGGACAATTTCGGATAGTTCCCAGGTTTAATTATGAGTATAGCTTGGGTTTTATTTGCTTATTTAAAATCTAAAAACTGAGTTTAAGTTAATATTGGATTTCCCGGCCAATTTTCTAAAATGTTCATGTTCTGAAAATCGGTCATTCATTTTCGTCTGAATTTGAGAATCGCTCTGAACACGCCTTTCATTTTCGCTATTCGATTCCAATATATATTTATATTTACACTGAATACTATTTAATTTTTGTGTAGACATTTCGAGCATGGGTTGGCAGGCCTTAGGGCTACAGTGTTTTAGTACACTTTTGTTTACCCTGGCTGGTTTGGAATGTAATATTGTTTTCTGTCCCTCTATTGTTTTCTGTCCCTCTATCTCCTCTCCCCTGTCAAACTGTCCACCCTCCCTTCCCTTCCCCCTCCCCCGACCCATTCCTACTTGCATTCTTCAGTCTTGTCTGGTATTACTTTTCAATTTCCAATTTTTGCTTACTTTTTTACTTTTTATTTGCTTTGTCATTGTACTTTTGTTCAATTGTTGGCCGAATAAATAATAATAATAATAATTTCAGTTCAATCATTTAAGTGACTGAGCAGCGTTTATGTCCATTCAGATTCGTTTACAAGACTCCTTTTTTTCGCTTTTAGAAGGTGATTTCAAACATTCACCATTCTATATCACTTTTAGTTCAATGCCATCGGCACCAGATACAATTAGGCCAAAAAAAAGTCTCCGGTTTCTAGTATGGAGCTTGCCCAAAAAGTGGTGCGGTGACGCGGCTTTTTTTTTTTTTTACCTGATTTTTTTGCTTCAAATGTGCGCTGATGACTGCAAATGGTGCCCGACTAAACTTAGTGCATATATATGGGAGTCCAGAGAGGCCACATAAAGCTTATTCTCGACCATAACCCAATCTAAAAACACGTTAAAATTGTGCAGCAGCAGGATTCCAGTTAAAACAGTGAGTTTGGCGGTTTTGAGACATCATCTTTCATTGAAAAAAAAACTTTTTCATTTTGCCGACGCGCATGACTGCGGCGACGCGTACGCATACCAGAAACCGGAGACTTTTTTTTTTTGGCCTTAGGGTTTCTTTTTCATTTACCGTCAATCAAATTAGCTGTACTTTTAAAAGTTATAAATGATGAAGCCAAATCCGAAACGAAGCCGAGCTTTGGGCCATCAATGTCGTCATGTTTAGTTTTAGCCGCGATTTCTGCCTGACCTACAATTTAGACGTGAGCGTCGGGGGGAAAACTGTCAGGTCTGGGAACCAGACTAAACCTATCTTATTCACAACCAAAAGAGGGCGCTGTTATCGGGTTCGTAATATACACATTACATATTGTGGTACTCACAAATCATATTTTTCACCGCAGAGTGTGACCAGACGATACAAAATACTGGCTAGAGCGGCCACGACGACTGTTATCTGCGAGAACAGACAGTAGTCGCACGGGCCATTCGATTCTGGAGGCTGGACTTCCACATCAGTCAACCAGTAGTGGGGTGGGTTGTGGTCACTGAATTCGATTTGTGAGTACGGAAGACACTTGATTTTAGGCAATTCGTTCTGTGAAAAAGAAAATAGTTGTCAGCACAACATAAAAAAACCATTAAAAATAAACTACAAAAACAACAATGACGACAACAACAACAACAACAACAGCAGTAGCATATCATCATCAACAACAGCAATAGCAACAATTAGAGCAACAACAGCAATAACAGCAGCAGCAGCAGCAACGGCAACAGCAACAACAGCAGCAACACTATAGTAACAGCAACAACAGCAGTATAACAGCAGTAACAGCAGATACAACAACAACGACAACAACGACAACAACGACAACAACAACAACAACAGCAACAGCAACAAGAGCAGCAACAAGAGCAGCAGCAACAGCAACATCAACAGGCGACAGCATGCAGCAACAGCAGCAACACTAGTAACAACAACAGGCAGCAGCAACAGCAGTAACAACAGATAGAGCAACAACAACAACAACAGCAGCAACAGCAGCAGCAGCAGCAACAACAGCAACAGCAGCCTGCAGCAGCATTCAATTCAATTCAATTCGATTCAATATAACATTTATTTATATCCAACCATAAACAAAATACAACAGCAACATAGGTCATCAGCCTCGGCCCAAAATTTTGGCCATTGGTATCAAATGAGGGGAATAATCGTCATAGCGATTTTTGGCAAGGTATACACCTCCAGAGTTGGAAAATATGTGATAGCATTGCATGGGTGGCAGTTTTTTGGGTGTTATCACCTTTTTTTTTTTTAAATGTGTATCAAAATGCTTGTTACCACTCTAGGGCGGCATACCTTGCGCATGCGCACTATAATCATTTATGCCCTGATTTGATACTGGCCAAACCCCCAGGCTGATGACCTAACATCAACAACAACAGCAACAGCAGCAGCAACAACAACAACAACAGCAGCATCAACAACAGCAACAAGAGCAACAACGACAACAGCAACCCACAACTTAAAGGGGCATTACTGCCTGAAATCCCCGAAAATCTTAATGTTACATTGTTTACTTATTTCAAAGGTCTGGTTGAAAGAAAACCAACCTGATGTCACGGTCTTGCCGTTCTCGAAAAAAAAACCCGGGGAAACGGTTGTTTACATGCAGCGGCATTTTGGTGCATACCCATACGTATTTCCAAACGTTTCCATTCAATTTTGTACAGTACAAATGCCCACGTAAACCAGTTTTGCGTTTTGTGGACCTGTGTGGTTGGTTATTCATTCAGACTGAGTATTTGGGACAATTAATGGTGTGTGTGCGATTTCAATGGGCCCCATGTCCCGGCCCAGGTCCTCCGGAGAAGGGAACAATAGGGAACAAAAGAAGGAAAGGATCAGGTCCTCATGATTATAGCAGAACACACATGTGTGTGTGTGTTCATGGTGTAAATCGAGGACTCACGAGTACAACACCATCGATAAATTGAGGACATGAGAAACAGAATCGAGGGCTCCTCGGTTGGAAAACGTGTACAAAACCAATGAGAGCTGTTGCCAAAAAGTTTAAGTATAAACAAAGGAAAAGGGAAGAGGAATAAAGAAAATCCTCGATTTACACCCTAACAAACGTGTGTGTGTCACATGAAACACACAACACCAATATAAAATGTAAGTTTTTATCGCCCGTCCACAGAGTGCGATGCACATGCATATGCGGCAGGATTCACCACTACACTCAACAGCTCGATTTTCGAGTCGAAAATTTGACGCCCAAACTTCGTTCTCGCGTGGTTCTCGCAAGAATAACACAAACACGCCCAGTTTTTAAAGGATGGTTGTGTGGACGTTTATATCCAACTTTTAAGTGTTCTTTCCAATTAACATCATTTCGTTTAAAAACGCGTTTTGAAGTCCAATTGGGCGCATTCCAGAACGTAATGTCCCATTAACGACACAAAATGGCTACAACAAAACTCCTCTTACCTCAGTTTCGAGGAGGGGGATGATAACCGTCAAACCAGCCGCAAATGCCGCCACCAATACGATTACCTCCACTATGACTACAGGTTTAACTACTCGACCCATGTCAACGCAGCATTTAACGCCTGGTTCGAAGACAAATTCTTCCCGTAGCTACAGGTTGTAGGTGATTTGCGCAAACTGTTTTGTCCTCAAACAGGAACGGACACTGGTTTTCAACACAGCCTCTCTTTTAGTGAAGATTAACGCATTAATCTGTGCGCTCTTCAAATCCAAATCACATGCAAAATGGCGAAAGCTGGGAACTTGAATTTGGACTTCGGCCTATGACTTGTATACTCATGCAAAAGGTATAAAGGTTAACGCAAAGTAAGCGAGCAAACTCCGCACTCCAAAACGATAACAGACGACACAACAAAACTTTCGTATTTACAACTGAACGTATCAAGAACACTTGAACTTTACCACGAGCTAAAAAAAGGTTCATTGACGTATTAAATGCATGGACGTGACGTGACGCGTTGACGGGAGGTGGGAGTATGTAGATAAATTTGTAAAGCATATTTTTATTACCATTAGCCAACACGACTTTTAATAGCTATAGGCACTAACGGAAGTTAATGGTGCGTTTAAAAGTCACCGCACACAACTTCAGACATTGTGATTGGGAGGTTTTTTTGTACATCAAAGTTCTCTCAGATGGTCCATTTTTCTTCTTCATTTTATGAGTCTCTTGGGGTACAATTTGTACCCCTCTGTAACTAATTAATAACTTAACGCTGTGGATAGGTTTTCTGATTTTGTTTTAGACACCAGCTGAGAGCTTATTTCCTAGTAATTTTAAATCAATCCGGTGTTAATTTTAGGTTATTAAAAATAGTGCAACTAATCAACTCATGAATGATTTAATTAATGAGTAAATTAATTAAAACACACCAAAACAACGTAATTTCTTCTTTTGTTTTATGGCTTCTGACCACGCGGCGACAGCCGGCGACTAGTATTGCATGTCTGATCAAGTCCGGGCCCAGCATGTACTATTTATTAGCTTAATGGAGGTCATATTCCATGCAATGGTCATGTTCCATGGTACAACTGCATGGGCCAACTCAGTGTTCCCCATGCAATGGTCTTGTTCCATGGTACAACTGCATGGGCCAACTCAGTGTTCCCAATGCAATGGTCATGTTCCATGGTACAACTGCATGGGCCAACTCAGTGTTCCCAATGCAATGGTCATGTTCCATGGTACAACTGCATGGGCCAACTCAGTGTTCCCCATGCAATGGTCATGTTCCATGGTACAACTGCATGGGCCAACTCAGTGTTCCCCATGCAATGGTCATGTTCCATGGTACAACTGCATGGGCCAACTCAGTGTTCCCCATGCAATGGTCATGTTCCATGGTACAGCTGCATGGGCCAACTCAGTGTTCCCCATGCAATGGTCATGTTCCATGGTACAGCTGCTTGGGCCAACTCAGTGTTCCCCATGCAATGGTCATGTTCCATGGTACAACTGCATGGGCCAACTCAGTGTTCCCCATGCAATGGTCATGTTCCATGGTACAACTGCATGGGCCAACTCAGTGTTCCCCACGCAATGGTCATGTTCCATGGTACAACTGCATGGGCCAACTCAGTGTTCCCCATGCAATGGTCATGTTCCATGGTACAACTGCATGGGCCAACTCAGTGTTCCCCATAATGTAAAAAAAAATAGACTCGGAACAAGGACAACCCTTGGGGGAAAATTCCAAATGGTAAATAGCTCACTAACTCATAGAGCATGGACCCAAACAATTTTCGGTTTAGGAGAGCAAACAAAACAAAGAAATCGTTTTGGGGGTACCCTTTGGCTACACGCAGGGTTTTTAAGCTCTGGCAGGAGCTTCTATACATGTCACTTGGTGGTCGGTCGGTCGGTCTATCGCCGTCTGTTGGGCTGTCTGTCTGTCTGTTCTGACCAAACCTCACTTTCCGGGTGATGTTCCTTTCATGACACTTCACCCCACTATTTATACAATAGAAAAACTTCACCACATAAAATATGTGTTATACAGTCACATGGTATTTATCGCAAATTGCTGTATATAGGTATAGGCATACATCTGAAGTATAGTGTTGCATAATGAAAGGAGAACTCCCAAGCTACACGCAAATGTGACTATAGAGGTCGCTGTTCATATGGGTCTGTGTATAACATCATACGAGATCTTAAAGACTTTCATGCAAGACGGCCAGAGCTTATGTGCACTCACACTTCTTTAATGAAACCAGAAGGGAATGAAAAGGACTGCTAATCACTTCGATGCTAATCATACTATTTCCCTAAGGCCAAAAAAAGTCTCCGGTTTCTGGTATGCGCGCGCGTCGCCGTAGCCATGCGCGTCGGCAAAATGAAAAAGTTTTTTTTTCAATGAAAGATGATGTCTCAAAACCGCCAAACTCACTGGTTTGACTTGAATCCTGCTGCTGCACAATTTTAACGTGTTTTTAGAGGGGGTTATGATCGAGAATAAGCTTTATGTGGCCTCTCTGGACTCCCATATAAGTTGCACTAAGTTTAGTCGGGCACCATTTGCAGTCATCAGCCGACATTTGAAGCAAAAAAAATCAGATAAAAAAAAGAGAAAAAGCCGCGTCGCTCCACCACTTTTTGGGTAAGCTCCATACCAGAAACCGGAGACTTTTTTTGCCTAAGTCAACATTAATCGAAAGAAAAAGGGAGAAAGAATACCCAAACAGACAATGAGGTCCAGCCCCCCCCCCCCCGGCCCGGCCCCCTCGGGCTTGTTAAATTTGCAATGGTCGACCGGGCACCACCCTCACCCACCCCGAAAATGTTGGTTATAAATCCGCTGGTTGCCATTAAAATTGTCGGTTCCCCATGCATCTACCCAACCGAAACCCTACATCCTCCCATCCGTTTTCATATCTTGCCTCGCTTCCAACCTGGTTCCGTTGTCAATACTGAAAGTTGAAAAATGCTGCTAATATTTAAAATAATTTCGTTTTGATCTCTGAGTAACAACAGCAAATGTTAGAATATACCGACTAGGCCTAGATAATCATTTGAATTACTTTCAGTTCTGTTCTATAATAACAAAAAATAAACATGCACAAAGCAAACGGTTATCATCAGATATATGTATTTTGTTCCTTCTTGTTTTCCTTTTCAGTGACTGTGTTGATAAGTCGGAAGAGCTGATCCCGCGTCAGTGTGTAAACAATTTGTCCAATGAGGGCTGAGAACACATTGACCCGGGTCATCGGAAACAAAAATCGTCCAATGGGAGCTCAAAACGATTAGCCCCGACCATGTACCAGCGCCTTGAAATGGGGGCTGGGAACGAGCGAAACGGATTTGAGACTGTGAAAGCGCTTTTTTAAGACTTGATTTTTTCTGAATCCTTCTTCTTGCTAGCCGCACCGAAGCTCACAATCGTAAGAACAGACAACAGAAGCCAGAAACCCATGCAGATCCAGGACGCCATCTGTTGACGAAAGAGAACAAGTCAGAGATATTATGGTCGTTGTACCTGACCATGAGGGCGCTATTTAATGTGGTTTTGGGTGCAGGCCAGTAAATAGGATCGAAATTCTCCGGTATTAATTAAAGCATTTATGGGACATGAACTTGAGGGTTTGTGAAAAGGAAGGAAGGGCATCCGTGCACAGGATTGGAAGCTCGTATTTCTGTGAAATTCGGATGAAATTAGGTCCAAAGTGCTCTATTTTTCAATGGAGCGCATGCATCATTATTTACAATGGTTGTTTGCTCCATGCAGGACTAATTTGAGTGGTCATATTATATTTGAATGGAATGTTCTACCTAAAGTCATTGGCTAACCCAAACACATTGAACAGATCATGAAATAAGCTTTAATTTGCTTGTGTGTCTCAAGCACCTTGGAAAGTTGTGAGTATTTTCCCCTGAATTTCAGAAGTGGGCGTATTTATCACTGGGGTCAATGGCAGAAACCTTTTTGGGTGATACAGGTTTGTTTTGTCATTTATTTAAATTCAGTGGCAATGAAAGTACAAGTGCCCTTTGTCTACTCACATATCACACAATAGCAAAGATCAGTCCTCAGTGAGGGCGCTTTTTATATGCAAAGAGTCGTTTTAGTTGGTTTATGTACAATCCGTGTGTCCCCAGAAATATAAAAGTAGTTACTCACCGTAGCGATCGACAATTCCTTGACGAAGTTGAATTCTGCCTCTGGGGAATCTGGCAGACTTGCGATGAATTTCTCTGCAGTTTCGCATCTTGAGAAAGAGGAAAGTCCACGAGAAGGAGTAAAAGAAACAACTTATTTCATTTTACGTTCAATATTCATTAATTGTTTAGCAAGTTAAATGAACTTTTTTTAAACTAGTATAGAGCTTCGTCTGTTCCGCATATCCCTCGCTTTATACTCATTTTCAAGTCTTTAATGTCCAAATAATTACAATGGAAGATTGTCCTTTTTTATTATCTGACGATCCCGTCATAAAACATGGACCATTGTACAGAACTGCAGTTCTCAAAGTCTGGAGCCACGAGCTCATGAACTGAAGCCAAACTGCAAACGATGCCGAAATTTCGAAAAAAATGTCCACGACACCCGGGCCGTTTAGCAAACATCGGCTTTGTCCCCGTTTTGGCTCCAACTCCATGATCTCTGCCCTCTGAGTAGGATGAGTAGGAACATTTTCAATATACATGTATTAAAAACAGCTACGGCGCACCGTGCACGGGATCTGTAGCGAGGTCGGGGTTTGAGAAACGACCCATGTTCGCTAAGAAATGTTGTCATAGATAAAAAGTACCTACTCACTTTTTGTCCGACCCGGAATACGATGTCAGTTGACCGCAGAAATTATTGAAGCCCACCTGAAGAACTGTGCTCCCTATCAGAGCGAATGCAGCAGACAAAAGATACAAGGGGATGGAAAGGATTCGCAAGAGAGACCTACAATATGCAACACAAGAGGTAAGTGTAGAGGTATTAGGAACATTTTAAATTTTCAATGAAATATGCAAAAATCTCATGGGTTGTACTTTCATGAGAAATGACTTCATGAAGTTTTCCAACATTATTTTCAAAAAATGTTGCAAGACTTTTGAGATAAAAGAAATCACGAAATGTTTCCTAGAATTTCTGTAAGGCCGCTTTGGACTGTCTTATATCGGCACTTAACTGCAACCAAGTTTAGTTTCATTAAATTAGCTTATAAAGCCATTCACAAAGAGTCTCTCTCCATCAATGACCAACCAAAGATCAAGTAAAGTTTACTGTTCATGTTTACACCTTTGAACTAAATCAATGGAAACACCAATATCATAATTTAAACAAGACTTTATACAGTTTGGCCAATCACAAGCCGGTTCCCCCCCCCCCCATTGATAACACGGACCAATCAAAGATTGACAAATATTTGGATGCTTCACTGACTAGCCAATCACAAGCCGCGTATCTAAGATCCAACCAATCACAAAGAGACTTACAAATCCAGTTTCTCCACGCAGATGGTCACTAATCGGTAGAGGGCGCAGATGAAAGCGAAACACAGACTTATTATTATCTGAGTCGCCATGCAGAAGTTACATTTGGCGTCATCCGGGGGTGGTTTAAAGGTGATGTTGCCCCAAGCAACCGGCGGGTCTTGCAGGAATTTCACCTCAGTATACGGAAGACAAGTGGCGCCTGGGATCTCATCCTGAAAAGATTGAAAAACAGATTAAAAATACCACCTCCCCGATTTTAAGTTTGTTCATCATTGCAGAACTGATAAAGGCATATAGGATCATGTGCATTAAATCCCAAAGTAACCTACCAAATTATTATCATAAAGCTTACTTGGATTCGAAAGATCGGACCCCGTGAAATTATTCCGTCTGGCCAGCGGTCATTTAGAAGAAATCAACATTTCAAACGATGTCAATTCGTTTAAATTGGAGTAGAGTTCTACTGACGAAATCGTCTTCCGTGATCTAAAAATTGATAACTATAATACTAAATTTCATACCCCGTGACTCAATCTTGTTTTTGATATCACTGCCATTTCTTCAACTGCCAAGCCTTTAATGTTGAGCTGATGTCTTGTAAATTGTAAATGTTTTGACACGACTTTTATAAAATGTTTATGTAAATAAAAATACCCAACTTTACAACGCAGGGTGTAGCCTTGGTCAATGCTCTCGTCGTTATTCGTCCCGTACGCGGTCAATCGTCGGCATATATCCTCACGCGCTTATGCACATGCATGTAAAAATACAGCGCGAACAGCGACCTCACGCGGCCACTATTTTTATGCAAATCAGTTGGAGACGATGTCGAGCCTTGGTTCAATCGTCCATGTGAGGTTTTGGGGGTGGTGCTCATTATGTTAATAGCCTTAGCTGACCTTAAATGTCGTTTTCTTATTGGTCGATCGTTGCGTGGAAACTTGTATAGTGAAACGTGGCACCGTACATAATCCATACACGTACACATTGTGTGTCTCTGCACACGGCACCAATGCACAAAAACTGTGGTTCCTGTCACGTCCGCAAAAGCCGGAATAGCTGCAAATAATTTGATGACGTCCGGATTTACCAAGGTGTGATTGGACACTCCACATATTAGCCCCGCCTACATTATCTGTATTCGCATACGAGGTCGTGCGCTGGAAATCTAGCGCAAAGTAAAGAAAAACATAAGCTTTCATGGACGATTGAACCAAGGCTCGACATCGTCTCCAACTGATTTGCATAAAAATAGTGGCCGCGTGAGGTCGCTGTTCGCGCTGTATTTTTACATGCATGTGCATAGCGCGTGAGGATATATGCCGACGATTGACCGCGTACGGGACTAATAACGACGAGAGCATTGACCAAGGCTACGCAGGGTGCAGCAAGTATTATGTGAGCAGATTCGCTGATTAATTACCGCCTCTTGACCTCTAGATTTGGACCAATCAGGGGGCTCTTTCTATATCGGGTCTTCGGTCATTCACCCGTTGCGCGTCACTAAACAAAATGGATTTAAAAAAAAATGTGTCACGCGCTCTGTATCATGTTACGCGATAATGCGCCCGGCTGTTGTTGTATTACAAAACACTGCATTCGAATTGACCAATCAAACCATTTAGTCCTGATTCTGGAATGAAATGACGTCACGATTTAGTAAAGTCGACTCTGATTGGCTGGCGCGCGGCGGCTCGCATATATCTGCATGTCTAGACAATCAGACGTTATACATGCAGGAGACCCTTGGCAGCTTGGCTCCGTGGATAACGGGTGATACTCAGACTAGTAGCAAGAGGTTCCGTCTAAAAATGTTCAACAAATTCATTGGCCTTGCATAGTATAACTGTAATGTGCTTATTCACAACCGGTAGTTGATAAGTTTATAATTAACGAACAATAGCTCCATGGGAACAGTATAGCTTTTCCATATCGCACAAAATGTTCTTCAAATGATTCTTCTTTTGCGCCACCCCGTACACTAGGCTTAACAAAAAACATAAGGACAGAACGTTTTGTCCGACTGGGGTAACTTAACACGTTGATGAAGGAGGAATGCTAGAAGCATAATGTGTAAATTTGAAACCCGCTCTTTTGAAGTTGGATTGAAGCTTACCGTAGCTTGCAAGATTGTGATGAATACAGCAAGTCCGACTCCGACCACAGCGAGCAACAGCAACGTTTCTACGCCGGCCAGCGGCTTCCTCGCACCGCCCATGATTATTGGATGTAACCCGCTTCAGAAACAATGCCTCGGAAACAGAAATCCAAATTTGCGAAGTGTATTTTTTAGTGTTCTCACTTCGAGTAAGAGGATGTTTGTGACTTCCTCCGAAAGCCAACTACCTTTTATACCGCTCGTTCCTCGTCTGGTTAAACGGTTGGCTCCTGAGGTAGCGGGAATGTGTGCAGGAAATTGCAATGTACCATCGAGTCAATAAAAACAGTGATATTATCTGACTCTTATTTTGTACTAAAAATGATCAAAAAACGACCTTTGTAACTCGCAACAGTTGGGCATCGGGTGTGGTGTTGACATTGTACACGATTTGGGGAAATAATTAACAGTGAATCAACATTCCTTGGGCTAATTATAGCACGTGGGTGACCCACAGGTCACGTGGGGTCTGAGACGATGGCGTCACGATCAAGGGACACCGGATTCTGGAACGGAGTGGTAAACTTAGCGCGATGGGCGGGACCGATGCGTTGGTGTTTCGAGGTTAATAGTGTCATGGGGAGAACCTTCGCCCTCGGCAAAATGCAAGACGCCTTGCAGAAATGATTAACCAAGTTACATTTGGGTTGGAATCTTGTGAAATAAGAGCGAATTTAGCAGACAGGAGAGGAAAAGATCGTTTGATACACAGAAACAAGAAAAGGCAACCCACCTAGGCCTATTTACAGGGCGAGTCAAAAAAAAAGCGGAACCCAAAACCCAAAAAATATATGTCATATTTAAAAGAATATGTGGCACCAAACATAATAATGACTGGAAAGCCAATTTCATAACCTACTTTTAGATGAAAAAAAAATTACTGAAATTGGTCAATCCGTTCATAGAATATCACCATTTAAACACAACGACCCTAAAACCTGTCTAGTCCAAAAAAAAAAGTTTTGTGTGTTTTGAATGTTTGGAACAAAGAAAATGACACAGAATACTTGTTTCAACAACTGTCACCAACTGTAGTACACAATATCTTGATTAACAACTCTGGTAAGGCAAACAATATGATTTACAAAATCTACTTTTTTTGAAAGACGGGCTTTAAAAAGGACTTTGTTGCACATTGTTAACGTTTAAACTGAGATTTTATAGCTGGTGATGCTTGAAGACAACTGTGACGACGATTCTTGAAATCGCACTTTTTTGGACGAGACAGGTTTTAGGGTCATTGTTTTTAAATGGTGATATTCTTTGAACAGATTGAGCATTTACAGTCATTTTTTTCATCTAAAAGTAGCTTATGAAATAGGCTTTCCAGTCATTATTATTGTTGGTGCTACATATGTTTTTAAATATGAAAAATAGTTTTGGGCGTTTGAGTTCCGCTTTTTTTACTCGCCCTGTAGTAAACAGAGCCCAAAACTCAGAAAAATCTACTCGATTCAGTCTGGCTGGCTATTCACAGGAAGTCTTTTCGTTCGTCTGGTCTACAAGATGAGCCAGTCTGGGAATCAGCCCATGGCGTAACGGGGTAATCATATACGATAGCACTGCCCGGCAAACAAGTGGCAATCAGGGTGATACTTGAAGAAAAAAACAGAAGACAACTTTAACGAGTCTTCCATTTTGAAGTTGCTTCGGTCATCAAACCAAAATTCAAGCCAGTTTGTACACAAAAATCAACACAAACATTTAGAATGTTTTATACAAAAGTAATTTTTATGTCAGTTTTCCTAAATACCGACGAACGAGAACAATTAATTTACAGTTAATTTACCCAAAATACTAGGTTTTAAGTGATAAATGTTAAAACTTTTCCCAAGTTTTCCGGGAATATGAATACGGTTTAAATACAGTCGCTGGTTAAACTAACAAACAAAAACCTAAGAAGGCGCTGTGACTGTGGTTTTAATCCATGATGATAACAAAACTTTCAGCCAAGTAAAACACTGAAAAACAATTAAAGTAGAATTCATTCAAATCTATAATCATCAACAAGTACATTTTACGATACGATAAAAGTCTGCACACACGAAACTCAGCCTGGAACTCAAGCGAAAGCAAAGCCAATGACTTAATATTTCATAATTTCAAGAAGCCAAAGTGAAGAAAATATTTCTAAGTAGAACGAACGTTCTCTCGCGAATTGAAAAAAAAAACAATTTAATAAGACTTGAATGTCTGCATGGTAAAAGTCGGTAGCACCCTGCAGTCAAATCTTTTTCGAGATGTTTTCTCTGAAGACAGACAATGAGAACATACTGTCCGAAACATAGAGGTACCAATCGGTTCAATTTTCGGAACCCTATAAAGTAACAAAGAGACTTGACAAGTGCAACCGCACACTTTACATCTTAAGTTGCAGTTTTGTTCACATAATGTCCCCGTTTACTGCTGTACTCTCATGCTCAGTGGACTCAGAAAACTCTATGTAACTCTCTCCCTTATAACCTGTAGCAAATGGACCGATCCAGTAAGCCCCGCCCACTGCGCACGTGGGCAAATTAACACGTGCTCCTCTCCAATGCCACACTGCATTTTCCTTCCGCGCACATCATACGCGCGTGCACGCATGTCGGACTTTAGTGCACGCACGTCGAACATAAATCACGGCTGTGATTGGTCAGAACACCATGGGGCGGTGCTTACTGGATCGGTCCATTCAAAACCTCACGTGATAGGAAACAAAGTAAATCATTTCAATTACAATATAATAGATAAGAGATTAGGGATATTGATTCATGAATAAAGCCACGGGAAAGTGTAAACATAAGATACCATTATTTTTGTTTGACTGTCACAAACAGTGAAAGATAAAACATTGCTACAAAATGAATAATTTGTATTGACTATAACTTTGCGTTATAATCATGGGTTTGCCTGATAAAAGTGGGGAGAAATACTGTGAAATATCAGGAAAAATGGGAAATATCAGAAAAAATGGAGAATGTGATTTGCGTCAAAAAGCTTACATTTTCCATAAATGCACTCAGATTTTCTATGTCATGTTAAAAAGTACATTTGAAAACGAATGACACTGCTGCATACTGCTCACTGACTGGATTGACCTGAAATATACAAATCAAAAGCTTAGAGTGGCCTGATATTTCTTCCTTGCAAAGGATGAAATATCAGGCCACTATAATTTTGTTTTAAAAACACAATTGAATTTAACCAAAGCTCATGCTTTTGAATGCAAGAAGCAAGCTGTTTACGCCGAGTTAATTAAAGAATGGAAAAACACAATTAAAGATTCAATAAATTTCTTTTCATGTTATTTCTAGTTTTTGTGTGTACTTCTTACGAGAAGATGAAATATACATATCAGTACTATTTCACTATTTAAAATTTAAAAAAAAGAAACAGAAAAAAAATCACAACAAAGTACAAAATGTTATCAACATTGTAAAAAAATTACTGCTCACAATATTTACAGCCAAGACGAAAATGTTAAAATATATTTACCCTTACATGTCCAAAAGCAACAAAATGTCAACAAAATGTTAAAACAACTTTTACCAAACATTTGTTAAAAACTTTTTATACAAACAGTACTGCACTGACAGTACGTAGAGGTTGAAAAAAAAGGTTAATAAATACTTTAATTTTCGTTGTTAAAAATCATTTAGTAATGATTTTTGTTCATGGCTAACTGCCTATCAAAACTTCAAAATGTACTTGTATTTCTATTGAACATCAGGAGATCACATTCAGGCTAGAAATGATCTATTAAATGATAATTTGCATATTAAACTTCACCCATTAAACTTTACTCAAATTTCAGTGGAAACGCCTATTCATAACAACAATTTCAGTGGGCACCATTTTTTCTTTAATCACAAAATATATTTTTGTCAACTCAGTCATCAAACATTAATTTAAATACTGAATCCCACCCGCTTATTTCATTGGACAGTGTCATACCAAATTTGATTTGAATAATAAACCCCGCCCATCCCACAAAGCTAATATAATTGGATAGCATTCCGTGTCCTTGTCAAAGTAATGGGTACCACAGCATCAGTTTTTTTCACCTCAGGATTTAATGATGTAAATCCTCTAATTTGAATAATAAATCCCGCCCATTCCACAAATCTCATGATTTGATTGGATGGCAGAGCTGGCCTAGTCCATGTCGTAGTAATTGCTGCCGCAGCATCGGTTTTTCCCACCTCCGAATTTGATGTTGTAGTACAAAGCAAGGATGAAGATGATCAGCAGAATCTATGGAATTCAAGAAAGAAAGAAATGTTTGATGAATTTTAGAAAGAACAAGACTCTCAGACAGGTGTGACTAAACTTATTGTGTGTATTCTGTGTTGCTGTAAACAAGGGAAGATCCAGAACACAATTTTTCGGGGTTGAACCAAAGAAGTTGTGTTTCCCAAAAAAACTGATTCAAATATTTACGGCGTGAGATACGGGGCCCACTTACCCCTAAAGGGGCCATGGGGGGGGGGGGGGGGGGCAACGCCCCCCTCAACTTTCTCCGCAATAGCCTTGAAGAAAAAAAATTCCACGACCTGAGCTGTTCTGACTTTTTAGCCTCGAGTCTTGCGTATCTTTTGATACCAAAAACATAAAATTTTGACCAGGGGTTGCCGCGCAGCCAAAAATTGCTACACAACGTGAACATTGAATTTCCCCATATACGTAGTATACACAAAACAGAATTACCATTCGTGCATATGGATAATTCCAAATACTTTTGACCTATAGTCATGAAATTTCTTGGGTATGTTCATGATAATTTGTAATTCATAATTTTTCATCACTCGATGACCAAGATCTTGGGGGAGGGGAATCCCCCCCCCCCAGCTGAGAGATGGTCAAAATAACACAGCCCTTTTAGGGTTAAGGGCCCTGGACAATGTTTCGATTCCAGATGCTCTATGGGTGCGATCTGAGGAAATTTCTGACCACTTTAACCAATTTTTTGGAGTAAAAGATGCTGGTGTACGAAGTGGCTTCAATTTTTGTGATGTCACTTAAATAACACAGTACTTGGGTTAGTTTTTGTCTGGGGGGGGGGGGGGGCATTGCCCCCTTTGGCCCACCCCCTGGACCCACCGGGGGACCTGAAATGTATACAGTCTATTGCACTGTAAGTCCCACCTTCAAAAGTTGAAGAGCGCCCTCAACAGTTCATGGACAGAGCATTATAGGATTGAGTACAGACAGCTATAACTTTAAACTAAGCACCGCAAAAAAAAGAAAGTCCACACTCATTGGGGGGATCATAATTTTGAATCTGATCGTCTTATGATAATGATGCAGTTTGAAAAGTTGCAACTTTAAAGAGTACGCGAGTGGAAATTGCCGCTTGACAATGACACACAGCCTGACACGAACGGCAGGGAATACCGATCACACAGTGCTTGCATACATGGGAGCACATGCTTCGAATTATACGCGCTTTGCTTGGGCACTGTGCAGTCGATGTGTGTGTGTGTGGTTACATTTAATAGCAATTTCTCCTCGCGTAATCTTTAGAGTTGCAACTTTTCAAACTGCATCATTTTTCATAAACAGTTGTCCATCTTGGACAATTTACAGTCTTTGGTAGCAAAAGGGGTATCAAAATGTAGCTAACAAAATTCCCCAAAGGTCTGTATAAATTATTAATCATTAATGATAATGAAACCAAGGATTCCTCAAAAGCGCCCTAGGCACTGTAGCTCGCAAGCCTGAAGAAACCTGTGGAGAGAAGACAATGAGAAGAAGGGAGCTGGGAGGAAAAGCCCAGAAGAATATTCTGGGGGAAACCCACGGAATCAGTAGGGACTGAAAACCCAATCCACATATTGGCCTAGGCGGGAATCGAACCCGGGTCACAGCGGTGGAAGGCAAGGAAAGTACCGCTACGCCAACCTGACGTCATCATAAGATGATCAGATTCATGACTCTTCCAATGAGTGTGGAGTGTTTCTTTCTCTTTTTGCGGGGTTTACATACCTGCAGCAGGACGCATCCGACACACATGGCACCAATCAGATACAGACAACTGTTGACAGTGTCAATCATTGCTGTAATGCAACTCTGCCAAACAAACAAAAATAGGAGAATCAGTCTTCAGGCATTCATTAGTATCTCCACACCATGCAAAGCCTCAAATCTTACTGATTCTTTAGCCTTCACATCATTATGACAGAAATGACAAGATCGGGAGATTTTCTAAATGTATCTTGCACTCCCCCCCCCCTCCCAAGAAAACTATCATGCCCACACCAACCATGGAACACTGATGGTTAATCCTCACTTCTCTCAACCATGGGCGGAGCTAGAGGGTGTGTGTGACACCCCCACCCCCCCTCCCCCACCCCCCCCCCTCCCCCACCCCCCTATTAATCATTTTCATAAAATCGCTGTCCTCTCAACAAAATTGTTTGCTGGCAAATGTGCCGGGACGAAGCACACCTATTATACGTGCACCCTTTAGGAAAATGTCATGCAGCCTAGCCTCGCCCACAATAACCACACCCAAAACAAACCCACCTTTTCCCATAATTCACCCACGGTTGAGCCACACCCATATTCTCTCTCCCTGCAGCAACTATCAGGCGTGTCATCTTGATCATAATTTCCGTACTCGTGCCAGTCAGTCGATGCCTCAACACCGCAGCATTGCTCCTAAATTAACCAAAAATAACAACGGAGACCAGGGCCAAATATGAGAGAGTTGCTTAGTGCAGGTTACCTGTCAAAACGTTCAATGAATAGACCAAGGCTTGTGACTGGCTGAAATTTGCAAAGAAAAGAAAGTAGATATTCGCTGCTTAGACGCTCCATGACAATGGGTGAAGAGATTAATGGATTTTCAGATTGAGCAAGGTAGAGGCCAGCCACTATTACTTTGCATGGGGCTTGATGCTCCTTATAACTTGGTAGGTACAAAGAGTGTGCCATTGGGTTCCTACACAGTGGAGGATTTTGTAGGATTGAGGAAGGTAGAGCCAAGCCACTATTACTTAATTTACATGGGGCTTGATGCTCCTTGAAACTTGGTGGGTACAAAGAGTGTAAAATACATAGCCACCATAATAGTCTTGGATGTTGGGATACCAATAAGATCAAAGATTTTCATCATGCACTGCTGAGAAAAACTTTAATTAACTTTTATAACTTTTATAGAACTTTGCAAGATTGTATTTCTTTCACTGTATACAATCATTAACAATAAGTCCTCTACTCAATCTGTTTGCTGCCCTCTGTTGTTCAACTCTCTACTTAAAAAAAAAAATTACTAGCACATAATTTGTGAAATTGGGGGTAACAAATGCTAGGGAAAAAATGAACAGGTCCAGTCACAAGAAACAGTGGATGAACAATAACAAAGGAATGCCTTTGTCAAAGCTCATGTGAATAGCTTGTGAGATGAATTGGGACTGGAGGACTTGTGATGGTCTTGCAGGGACTTGCGATGGACTAATTGTGATTTGACTTGTGATGGACTTGTGATGGACTTGTGATGGACTTGTGATGGACTTGTGATGGACTTGTGATGGACTTGTGATGGACTTGTGATGGACTTGTGATGAACTTGTGATGGACTTGTGATGGGCTTGTGAGGGGCTTGTGATTGGCTTGTGATGGACTTGCGATGGGCTTGTGATGGACTTGTGATGGACTTGTGATTGGCTTGTGATTGGCTTGTGATGGACTTGTGATTGGCTTGTGTTGGACTTGCAGGGACTTGTGATGGACTTGTGATGGACTTGTGATTGGCTTGTGATTGGCTTGTGATGGACTTGTGATTGGCTTGTGTTGGACTTGCAGGGACTTGTGATGGACTTGTGATGGACTTGTGATGGACTTGTGATGGACTTGTGATGGGCTTGTGAGGGGCTTGTGATTGGCTTGTGATGGACTTGCGATGGGCTTGTGATGGACTTGTGATGGACTTGTGATTGACTTGTGATGGGCTTGTGATGGGCTTGTGATTGGCTTGTGATGGACTTGCGATGGGCTTGTGATGGGATTGTGATTGGCTTGTGATGGACTTGCGATGGGCTTGTGATGGACTTGGCTACTTCCCTGGTCTCTAGTCAAGTCACAAGCTCTTCAAATGAACTGTGACAAAGACATTCTTTTGTCATTGAACATCCCTTGTTAGTATGTTACCTGTTACCCAAGTTGTGAAAAGGACTTGTGATCAACTTGTGATGGACTCGCCTAGGACACTGGCATCCAGCAACTCGGGCAAGCATATTGTTTTTGCCAATGAATGATACATACGTCAGTTTGCAGTCTGTCCCAGGCACCGGTGAATCCTTCTTTCTCGATGTGTCCATAGTTGACCATCTCCTTACGCGACGCTTGGATAACGTAGGATCTGACATAGCCATCTTCATACCACAGACCAACGAATGCAATGATCGCGACTGAGACTTCCAGACAAATGCAGAGCACGACGAAGAAGTAGAACTACAGCAAGGAATACATTACAATCAAAATAATCAAATGAACCAAGAAGGGAATTAAACTGGCTACGTGCATGTAATAATTATAAAATAAGAAATTGACTTGAGCAGGGTTTGAACCTGCCACCTCCGGGTTACTTAATGATGCTAGCATCGTGATTTTTGATGTGATCCCTAGCTAGGCCTACATGTACATAGCATTATTTATACCAGTTTATGGCTTCTGACTAGCACACATGAACATGCTGTTTGTCTAGTATTTGCCCTGGAGAATGTAATGAATATTCATGTGGGTGCACAACACATGAATATTCATGTAGGTGCACAACACATGAATATTCATGTTGGTGCACAATAAATGATGTTCATAATGGGCTGTCCTTTTGCTTTGGAAATAAAACGGGTTGAAAACCCTTTCAACCCATTTGATTTTTTTTTGCAAAATGCATGCATTACTTCCAAGGGTAGACAGGGTAGGCATATCAAACTTTGGAACAATTTGTAATCAGATTCAGAATTGTTATCGTTTAAATGTTTAAAATGTCGTCGGGTGCCCGGCAGAAGGGCATATGAGCATTCTGAAGCAAAAATCGTTTAAAAAAAAACTGCACTGATAGGTTCTATTGTTCCCCCACATGTATTATGAATCCAATGTTTTCCCACCCGTATTATAAATCATACGATTTTGAAATTTGTCACACGTACCGGTATCAATCATGAGTTTTGACACAACCTGTATTAATTTCTGACGAAAAAGTAAAAATTTCTTGAGTTTTGACACAACCTGTATTAATTTCTGACGAAAAAGTAAAAAAATTCTTGAGTTTTGACACAACCTGTATTAATTTCTGACGAAAAAGTAAAAAAATTCTTGAGTTTTGACACAACCTGTATTAATTTCTGACGAAAAAGTAAAAATGTCTTTAACATAGAGACAGTTTTCTGCATATGCCCTTTTGCTGGGAATATTTTGGTGATTACCCGCTATTGCATAAGGGCATATGCGTATATGCCCTTCTGCCAAGCACACGACGATGTGTAAACGTCCCATTCTTAGTAAAAGCTACCCGGTAGAATACAAAACTGGCAGAAACACCATGAAGAAAATTCACATGCTTAGGAAGGCCAGAAACATCACAATTCTGAGATTGTCATACCCGATAAACGTTTTTAATTTCTAATACTCTGGTGTCATAGATGAACAGTAGCCTCATATCTTACCGTCACCAGCAGGCATTTATTCTCTAGCACACCGCCGCAACAACCAATCAGAGCGACGATGATGATAATGAAGGCAATGACGAGGATAGCATAGGCAATGTAGATATAGGACACCCCGGCAATCAAGGATGCGTAAGTACCGTTAACGACACCAATTAAGACGTGAATTCCGACCCCAAGCAGAGCAATGCCAGTCAGCTGTAAAGAAAAAGAAAACACCAACAAGTGATCATCAAAGCGCTCATCTTATTTTTGCTTGATTCCTTGACATACATTGTACATAGTGTGCCCAATTTCCATTACTTCCAACATTTTATAGCCATTTTATGGTTGTTTTTATGACTTTTTTTTTTTTTAAGAAGTCGGCCAAATATGAATTTGCATATTCATGAGGAAAGTAGGGATGTCATCTAATACAAATTCTTTAGATTGTAAGCGAAATGTGTAACAATTCTGTCTTTTTTCAGGTGTTATCAAATAGGTGACTGCTCTATGTTCCGACACCCCTATGTTCCGACAACCTAGATTGTGTTACTCCCGGTTAGGGTTAGGGTTAGGGTCAGGGTTAGGAATAGGAATATGTGCAGTCGGAACATAGGGGTGTCGCCGAACATAGAGGTGTAACCATCAAATATACATGTACATGTACTGTATATGTTGAGTATTTCCCAGGAATTTTATTTTCATTTCTCCAAATTGTTTACACATTTACAATTCTTTACACTTGTACCAGTACTTTAAAGACACAAGGAACAGGCACTGTTTCTCATGATCCATACATATTTTATTGTCAAAATAACCACAAAATAAGAAAAAAACCTACCACTACCGTAATTATGAAAATAGCTCACAGGAAGAGGGATATTTTCTGTTGTAAAAAATATTCTTTTGTTACAATTTTCTTTTGTCAAAAATACAGACCAAAATTCCTGGAAAACACTTGTACTGTTATCACAAACCTGCTGAGATATTCCACTAATGGAATTTGGGCAAGCATCACAAATTCGTTGTTGGCAAAGCTTTTATCTATCCTCCACTCCTTCCCCCCCCCCCTTCTTTCCATCAAAGAACCGACCTCCAGTCTCTATTATTTAAAGATGACTCCCCGCTTCCAACCTTGAATTTCCACTCAAAAAGGCCGCACAATCTTTTGTCTGAATCTTTTGTTGACGGCAAATTAAGCAGAAGGCCAAAACTAATGTCCATGGCTTCTATGACTAACAATGGACACAATGCATGTGAATGGTGCAAGCTAACTGCACTATGCTACACTGCAGTATTGACTACACACTGCTGGAAACTCTCAAGAAATCGTTGGCTGTGGGGAAAAATTGCCATGGTTACGGCATCTTGTGAAACATTTAGAAAAATGCATGCGCTAAAAAGAGCGAAGTGAAGGCTTCCATAAAAATGTGCAAACAAATGAAAATAACAAGTACGGGGCTTGCAAAATGTGTCATTGTTTTTCAAATTACCATTTCCTACAACGACTTTCAAAATAGTCACTTTTTTCTATTAAACTTTAAAAGAAATTTAAGCATTTTGTTCTATTTTTCTTAAAAACATATTTTCATTAGAGGTGCATGTACAATGTACATGTACAAAATGTACTACATGTATAGCCTCCCCAATCTCACAAAAAGACTAAAAGTCCCAGAAATGCCAGATTTCAAAAGTTATTATATTTAAAAAAAATTGAATGAGGAGAAACCTGACGAAAACCCTGAAATCATGAGATATCCTGACGCCCCGGGTTGAGTTTTTTATTGTCCTCCCTGTCTGATACATTGTAATACAAACATCTCTACATATTTTGCTGTATTTTATGTAACATTAAAACTACAATATTTACATTAAACTGTCCTCAAGCTGCCTTGATTAAAAACAGTCATCTTCAAAGCATAATAAAAACTAGTTTTGCACAGAAAAGAGAACTTCTTGACTACAAATGTATGCATCACTGTTAGATTTCATGGGAAAAAATGCGAGTCTGCATATAATTACACTGTGCACGGTTTGGGACATTCATGACAAACAAACCATGCACACCGTTTTGTGACTTCAATGGTCTTCAAAGAGGCAGCATTGTGCAAAAAAAAAAAAAAAAAAAAAAAAAATGCCGGAAAAAAAATCTGAAATGAACGCTGCCTGTGTTTTGTGGGATTGGTATGTCAATCCCGCGACGCAATCTCCTGCCCCAGGCTTTTCCTTTTGTGCCACACCGGAGTCTAGTTACGGACTCTATAGCGGATAAGTACACAAACCCCGCAGTACGCTGAACCGAGAACAAAAAGACACCGCACAAAGGAACAAATTGTGGATGGAAAACAGGCCTAGTGAATCTGGTTATTCTTTACATGAGAGCGTTAGAGCGTGCTCCACCATGGTTCCACCCACGTCTTGGAAAATAACGACTGAGCGAAAGTCAAAATGTGCTTCAGTTCAAGAAAAGCTGAATCAACATTGCATATCAAATTTATCACTTTACTTCATTTTCTCCCTACAGTAGACCTCCAATGTACATTAAAATTAACTGACTTATAATTTTTTTCAACCAAACAACAGTTTCACTGATGTGTATGTACACTGTTTGTGTCGATATCAAGAAATTAAAAGTAAGTTTTTAGTTCAGTATATTCTCGCTTGCCAGCTTACTTTTGTTTCAAGCTTTGTAAGTTGGGCTCAAATTTACAAAGCATAGGCACTACAGTTTATGCAAGAAATACACGTGTACAATAGCAAAGGCTACTTATACTGTGGCCTATTGGTTAGAATTCGTGGCTCAGGGGTTCAGGGGTTCGAATCCAGCCGCTGGTCATATGTTGTGTCCTTGGGCAAGCCACTTCATCCCAACTTGCCTCTCTCCACCCAGGAGTATAAATGGGTACCAGCATTAGCTGGGGAGTGACCTGCAATGGACTAGCATCCCATCCAGGGGGAGTAGAAATATTCTCAGTCGTTTCTTGGCAAGAATAAATGCTGTTCTGATGGGCCATATTGGCCCATGACAGACTTTTTTTTTTACTTATAAATACCGGTTGGCCCTAATAGACACAAAACACATGGGAATTTAGGAGAAAAAAAGAGGAAACTCCAAACTACACAAGACTTTGTACAGTATTTTTCAATTTGTAATGGCATTCATAAATATAAAATGAGGAAATCAGCGGAGCTGAGGAAAAGTTACGTGCATGATGTGTTCAGCAGCAAGGGCGGATCAATGGGGGTAATGGGGGAGGCTAGTCCCTCCCCTCCCCCCCCCCCCCAACAAAAAATTAATTATTTGTTCATACAGTACATAATGAAAAAGATTATAAATTTCCTTTAAAAAAAATCATCACTCGATATTGCAAATCTTGATTCAATGTTTCAGGCCTTTCAACTTAATGCATTGACTGCAATGCCTCTACCCCCCCCCCCCCCATAAAAAATCGACGTCAACATCCCCCACCCCAACATCCTGTATCCGGCCTTCGCCACTGAGCCTGTAAAATCATGCTTGACAGTATATGCTTGTTGCACTTGACAGTCGACGGCCTACTTACAAGTTGCCATGAGCCATATCAATGGCCAGCCCACGCAGCCAAGCACAGCACATTTGTCACGTTGGCCTAGTTTCAGGGTTTTTTCCGCCTTGTATCATCTCAGTAAATTCCACATGCTAAGCATGTAGTCCATTTCATCATGGTACGTGCACTTTGCTATAAAGCGCTGGTCAACAGAGCAGATATGAATTGTAAAATCGATGCATGAAATGTCAGTATGCAGAGTCTTGCAGACTACTGTGTAAATGCTCCCCCCCCCCTGCCCTCCCCCCCCCCCCCCCCTCTCCACCTTACCAAATCACCACCATCTATCATTACTAGGTCAATACGGAACAGCAGAATATGCATAGGCAGGAACAATCAATCAAAAGTTGGTTGGGTTTTCAGTAGACCTACATGTATATGGTCGTCGGAAGGAGCATAAATTTGCAGCTCCGGTGTGGCTGTGCACACTTCAGATAGGCCTACGGAAGCTAAATGCAACATTTGCAAACATCAAAAACAAAACTACCAAATTACGTATTTGCTTAGAAATGTTTATAAAATTAAATGCAAACAGTCATCCTTAGGCCCCCCTCCCCCCAAAAATATTTCTGTTTCCGATTACACAGCATTTGAAAATAGGGTAGGTACAAATGTAGTGTGGGGAATTTATTAATTTTTTTTGGCCACTTTTTTTGTGTACGATCATATGGAGGCGTCTGCGTGTAGTCAAGGGTAAAAGGACGAAATTGATAGTTTTGGGTTTTTCCCCCCTTATTTTCCCATAAAAAAATTGGGTAGGGGCTGTCAGAAAAGGGTAGGTGGGGAAACCGGAAGCAGAACTATTATTTTTTTGGGCCTTATCCAGACCATACTATTATTACTGTTAGATGATAAGACTTTGAACTTTGCATGAGCTTTATTAAAATCTTGATTAAAAATGGGTTGACAAAAACACTCATTAAAAATTTGAGACAATCCTCTCCTCGGGCACGGGAAAATGAATGAGAACAGATTAATGCAACTCATGCTCCTTTTAAATTTCGTGGCGTTCAAATAAAAATCGCCAGCCTCTTAACTGTCATGTTTGGAACCGCCCTGCGAAGAAAAACATCCCACAGCAACAAACGCAATTTACAGCATGGGGATAAGACTCCTTGGAGAACAGTTAAGTGGTTGAGAGCACCGCCATCTGTAGGATTTCTACTTTAATGTACACTAACCAGACAACATGCAGCATCAGTTGTTTATATTTTTCTCTCCAAGGGATTTTGGGTGTGGGATTCCCCACAACTTGATTAGGTTATAAGGGGGCCAGGGGTTTGAGGATGAGGTTCGTGGAGTGGATCTGGGAAATTTACAACTGACTTAATTTCTTGTGAAATGAAAACTGACAGTGCCAAGAAGAAACGGCCAAGCCGGAACGAAGGTCACGAACAAAAATAACTCCTGGTTTCTAGCTCTACCTGTTCACACTGTTCTTTCAGCACAGTGGGCCTCAATCAATATGTTTAGTAACAAAGTGCATAAACATAACACAAGAAGGGCTTTACAAAAAAATTGTTTCAAAAATATGATCTCCAGTGAGAAACACAGAAATTCCCCAGGGTTTTCAGTTTGGTAGGTCTAGTGATGGTAGATGCCGTCGTCAAGTTAATGAATTTGGATAGATGGCGTAACACGAACTGGGTGTTCAGCCTGACATGTCAACATGGATTCTGTAGCCTGAATTGACGAGCAACACGAGCAACACGAGTACATGTATACATGTGAGAAAGGAATTTGTGGATAATTAGTGAAATGAGTTTTGAAACTTTGGGATATTTTCCTGAGAGTTAAGAGCATTATTGGTAAGGTGATAAGAACATTTTGGCAACGTTTTATGATTTTCATATGGCATACAGTGTATATTTACAAGTTACTATCAGGGGTACTGGACAAATTTACAGCTTGGACATTTGACATTTTCCAACAATTTGTCTGAATACAAATAGACATGCTGTCTAATTCTGCATTGAAAGTGCAATCTGAGTCGAATTTGACACACTGCATGTGACAACTAAAAATAACTGAAGTATTTGTACATACATGTAAGTGTTATTTTGTTTCTTGTGTACATTGCATGCAGGTGGGCCATTCTATATTTAATTTATGGTCCAAAGTGTGACATTTTGTCCCTGTTACATGTACCTCTGAACTTTGTAATTTACTATTCAAATGTCATTAAGGCCAAAACAAAAAGTCTCCGGTTTCTGGTATGGAGCTTGCGGCGACGCGGCTTTTTTTTTTTTTTCCTGTTTTTTTTTGCTTCAAATGTCGGCTGATGACTGCAAATGGTGCCCGACTAAACTTAGTGCAAATATATGGGAGTCCAGAGAGGCCACATAAAGCTTATTCTCGATCATAACCCCATCTAAAAACACGTTAAAACTGTGCAGCAGCAGGATTCCAGTCAAACCAGTGAGTTTGGCGGTTTTGAGACATCATCTTTTATTGAAAAAAAAACTTTTTCATTTTGCCGACACGCATGGCTACTTTTTGGCCTAAGAAAGCTTTCCAGCAACTTTTTTTAAAATGTTTGGATAGGTATAGTTCGAGATTCATTTATAATCATTCTTGGAGGATGACTGCATTAAGAAGTGCAGACTATTCATAAGATGGAATTCGCGTCAGGGTGATGTAAATCAATATAAGGTTCTGCCCTTTACCAATATAAACAGTGTATACTTAGTGTGTTACCTCCCAAGTGAAAGTTGGAAAAAAAATCACTCGGGTGGGACTCGAATTATAAAGCATACAGATGTCAGATCTGTAATGTTCATCGACAGGAAAAAAAGTGGACCCCAAGTTACAACATGCCCAGTGCATCATGAGCATGGTGTTTTGTTTCGCTTTGACTAGGGGAGCTTGGGTACCCCCCTCCCACGCCCAGTATTGGATTGGAAGTCTCCAAAAGGTTCCTTGTACAGGTAAGTATCTTAGTAAATATTTGATGGAACGTTTGTTTAACCCTAACTACCTAGGCCTTTTTGCTAGGATGTAGCCTCAATCCTGCAAAGTCCTCCAATTGGCCTCATGGGAAAATGGCATATGGCCTCAATCCTGCAAATTCCTCCAACTGGCCTCATGGGAAAATGGCATATGGCCTCAATCCTGCAAATTCCTCCATTATTTCTTGGATATGATCCGTGGAAGGGTGACCACTGCCTGAATCCTGCAAAATCCTGCGACAGTGACTGTCAATATGTTGAGGCTTGGCCAGTGACATCCTGGAGCAGTACGGAGGATTTCAAGCATAATGCAGGCCTATATTTATGTATGGCTGCATGAGCAAGGTCCGGCCCAAGACCTTGACAAAGTGCATCCTACGAAATCAGTAACTAACACACTCTTGTCATGTAACCTCATTCCTCCAAATTCCTCCACTTTGGCAAAGAGGATTTTGAAGGATTCAGGGCGGTTAGGGTTAATCCCCATATCGTCTCAACTGTGACAACCACATGATTGATTCCTCTCGCACAGCCAACATTCCATCCCCTTTCCTCCTCTGCTGCCCTAGTAACAACACTTCAAGGAACAAAAGCAACAAAGTCCCGATACTTACCAAGAAAATAACGTCAAAGAAAAGCAGCAGGCACTTGACACACTCAATGGCACAGCAGCACATGTTGTCAGATGAAGGATGTTTTACGGGCCAGAAATGATACAATCCTTCAGTTGAATTCAGTCAAACTCATCAATCTGAAAAAAAAAGAGAAAAAAAATTACAGTATACAAATTTATGTCACAGGCAAGCTTTATTCAGTTCAATTCCGTCAAACTCTTAAACCAAAAAATAATAATACATTTCATTTTCCTAATCAACACAAAGGGGAACTGACTAGGTGCATTATACTCATTTCTTAAAAATTGAACAGAGAAAGTGACTGGAGCGGGGTTCGAACCTGCAACCTCCAGATTGCCATTCCAGTGCTTTACCAACTGAACTATCCAGCCCTACATGTTTGTTGGCAGTTCCCCATGTTGTTAGTGTCTTCGTTCAAGGGGCGCTAGTCAGAAACCATAAGGGCTGGATAGCTCAGTTGGACTTTGGTAGAACACTGGACTAGGAATCCTGAGGTCTCAGGTTCGAACCCTGCTGCAGTCAATTTCTTTGCACAACTTTGAAATTCATTTATGTGAATTATTTCAATGTTTTAACCGAGTAGCACGTATGAAGTGAGGTGTGTACATGTACATGTACCCATTTACATACCATATTCTAAAGTCACATGTCATTTGTCTACGTTTCAAGGAAATATCTGGGCAGACAACAAATTTCAAGGGAGGAGAATTTTTAGATGAAACTAAAATAATATCTTACGCAAACAGTCTCCACTCTCTACAGCTTAAAATATATACTTAACCCAGTTTACACAACCATTGAGCAGTAAGTGCTACCCAAAAAAAGAAACAGTAAAAAGATCCAATATTTGTCCTTTGGATTAAGTCAGCTTTTCGGCCATTCGGAGCTCTAAGACAAACATCTCGCAGCCTAATGCTTGGCCAAGGTGCTGAAATTCTTCTGTCAATATTTGGATGCCTTTCCATTTGGAGTCCAATTTCAAGGATGTGCTTTTCGCAGACATTTTGTTAAAGGGAATATACATCATTTGCTTTTGCTGTAATTTTCAGAAATGGATGGAATTGGGGGGTTGGAAATATATAGCAAATATAGTTACACTGACTTTTTGAGGTTTTGGGTTCGAAAATGCTATAAAAACCAAGAAAAACAATCATTTTCCTGTAGTCTGGTTCCCTGACTCCATATAAGAAGAAACAGAGCAGTTTACATACATTGTGGAATTGTAAGGTCAGGGAACCAGTCTAGCTGGCTCGTACCCGTTCATAGGTTTGTAATCGATTGCAAACAAGTGCGATGGTCAATTGGGGCCAGTATTTGAAAAAAAAGCCATTTTTTCCAACGCTGATCGGACGATCAGCGTTGGAAATTGATACAAAAATACCACTTTTCTTGAAAATGACAGTATACCAGGTGCCATGATTTTACAGGATGCTTTACACTGTCATTCACTAACAGTCCAGCAAGGTATTTCAAAATGATTTGGTAGTTTTATTTTTTGATGTTTGCAAATGTTGTATTTTCCCTTTAAGCACTAAATATGTACATGAGGCAAATTTAAATGAACACATTGAAGGGGTGAGCTTTTTTTATTTATTGAAGAAAACACACACAAAAGCAAATTTACAGCAAATGACCAAAACTACATGTATGTTATCTTCTGGTAATGAAACCAAGGATTCCCCAAATAGCGCCATAGGCACTGTAAGATCAAAAGCCTGAAGAAACCTGTAGAGGGGAGACGATGAGAAGTAATTACAGTTTTAGAGGTGGGAGGAAAACCCCAGAAGAATATTCTGGGAAAAACCCACAGAATCAGGTAGGGACTGAAAACCCGATCAAACATATTGGCCCGGATGTGATATGAACCCGGGTCACAGCGGTGGAAGGCGAGGAAAGTACCGCTACGCCAAATCGACTCCCTATATAGTGACTTAACCCTAGCGTACCTGAATCCATCAAAAGCCACACCCCTGTTTCGCAGGATTTCGTAGCGGTACTTCAGGATTTTGATGGATTCAGGATACCTCCATATTGAGCAGTTGGGAGACTTTGATGGATTCAGGATCTCAACAGACTTACTCTCGGCTAACTGGTGGCATGGATTCTGATGGACTCACTGGCCACCAATTTTTTTTTGCATGTGGCAAAATTGATGGATTTTGGCGGATTCAGGATACTTTCTAGTAAATATACCAAAGGGGTAAGGGTTAATTAGGCCAAAAAAATAATAGTTCTGCTTCTGGTTTCCCTACCTACCCTATTCTGACAGCCCCTACCCTAATTTTTTTTATGGGAAAAATGAGAAAAAAAACCCCAAAACCATCAATTTATGTCTTTTACCCTTGACTACACGCAGACACCTCCATATGATCGTACACAAAAAATTGGCACAAAAAAAAATACCCTACCTACATGTACCATGTAATCGGAAGCAGAACTTTGGGGGGGGCCTTAAAGGAACAAAGGAACTGGTGCCTGACTCCCCTCCAACAAAACCTTGGCTGTATGCCCCTGTCCCATAACCTCTGCATAAAAAGGGTTACTTACTACTTAGTTTTACTTGACCAGAGATAACGTACGTGTCGGCACCCTTCCCACTATCCAAACTCTATCCCTCCTGGTGCAACCACAAACAACGTTCAATATTTCTTGTTTCTGTTTCTGCTTTAGACAAACACCCCAGCACAGCTGATGCTAACCAAGCGAAGTAAGAAAGCCGTGGGATTATTGACTCGCTCAGCGGAGGGCCTGGAGTTTCTTGTTCTAATATTCCCTAACTCGGATCAGATATGGGGCAGTGACATGTCGTTACATGGTAAAGATAATTGAATCATAGAGTATTAGGCAATGGATATAATTGATTGAGGTTACACAAGTGCATCAATAGGAAATTCAAATAAAGATGCATTTCCTTACTGAAGCTAAAAAGAAGATAACATTAAAGGCATATTAGGATCATAAATTGTACATTTATCCCCCAAAAAATGTTTATCAAAAAGCTATTTGGATTAAAGATCATACCACTACTAAAACATTCCATCTGGCTTGCTGTCATTCAGAAGAAATAAAGAAATGTACATGTGTGATTTGCACCGATCAGTCAATTAACTGATCTGGGGAAATCAAAAGTGATATAGACGAACTCAAGATCAAAAGTTCGTGCATGGTTTTCACCGTTATTTCAAAAAGTGTAATACCCACTGAGCTGAAACTTCAACAGGTTAGGCTTTTAACGTTTTTCTTTGGATTTTGAGTGGTGTTGTTATTGGAAACGATCAAAATGCATGAAAAGCAAATTATCTATACATGTATGACTTTAAATAGTACAGACTTCAAGAATTTTAGAATTTAGCTACATGCAATCTGGAATTTTACAAAATGTTGTGACATTTCATGAGCAGACCACAGTCAAATATATTATAAGAATTACACTTTGCAAGAACAAAATGTGCATTGTGCCACTAAGTATCTTACATTAAAGAACAAAAGTGCAGCGCCAGAAAGTGGGAAACTGGGACATCAAGGAAATGCCTCCAGTAAAAAAACAAAATCCTGGCGACATATTTCAATCCAGTCTTCCGATTGCGGCCAGATCTTGGCAATTTCATTATCCACGGGATCATCGGCGCGAAGTGTCGCTCAGCGCAGGCAGCGCAGCCACTGTTGTTTTGGTCCCTGGCAGCCTGCGCGACAACCCTGTGGCATTTCACGCCTTACCTCGCGTCTTCGGCTGAAATCACATTCCAATCCTCCGCACTCAATAAAAAAATCACTCATCCAAGAGACCAAAAATCCCCAACCTGTAATATTTGTTTTATTTCCGTATTCTGTACATTTTGACAACAGTCTGCTGAAAAAGACAATATTTTAGATATGCAAATTTCCACCAGTTGTGTGGGCGATTAAGTATTCGGCAGGCGCTTCTGTAAATTAACGACATGCAAGGAGATAATCTTGTACAGTGTGGGGAGCGGTTTCTTTGCGGGGTATTTCCACTTCACTGAACGCAAGATTAAGAGTTCCCTGTTGCCCGGAGGCAAAGCTGCCGTGCAGCGTCTTGCTGGCTGTGGAAGACTGATGCGGTGTGAAGGAACAGGGCCGAGAAAGATGCACGCTTGTCTGTGAGGATGCAATTTTAAGGAAAGGTGGCCACATGCAGAGTGTTCACTTGGGAGTAGATTTAATGCGCATCAATGGTATACTCCTGGAATTGAGGATTATTTTCTTAGCAAGTTTAAAATACATGTAAACAATGGAGGCTATGGAGCAGTTCTTAACAAATCAAAATAGTATTTTTGTCGAGAAAGAACATATGTCGTTGACTGTGTTTAAAGTCTACATGTATGGGTCGTTTTAAACATTTTCAATATATTTTCGGATAAAAAATATGAATGAATCTCAGTCCTAAATGTGTAGTGTTTCTATGTACATGTACATATATGTTGTACATGTACATACATGTACTTGCAAAAATTGAGGAAAAAAAGTGGTTTCAGGACATCACTTTTTTTTTCCTATACATTTAACAAGTTGAATCATATGATATTATTTCAGGCTTTAATGTTCAGCACTGGCTTGAAATTTCCAGCTTAAGTTTAAGGCTCATGATATGGGGAGATTTGCAATGACGAATCTCCCCATATCATGAGACTCAAGCTGGAAATTCTAGCTAGTTCAGTACTAAATACTCTATACAAACTATCTGTCCAACAGTAACAATTTAAACGGTACAGAAACCATAGCTTTTTTGTTGGAAAGAATGTTGCAACATGACGTCACTTTTTTCTTCATCATCTCAATAAAGGTCAGTCATTGCACAAATGTTGAAAAGACATGAATTTGGGACCGAGAAATATTTCCAATTTTGTTAGGAACTTAGAAAATTGTCTTGACTCTCCATATACTTTGTACACAACCACAGAAGTGGGGTCTGGATACTACATTCTTTCCCTTTTGTTGTCTAAAGAAGCCCGTCAAAATCAATGGATGACTAAAATTAGTAAAACTACTCGGCCTAGATTACCAAATACTAACTAGGCTAGGCCCTAGTCATAAAATATTTCCACACATGATCTGAATAGGAAATGTTTATGAAATAAAACTTTAAGGCAAATAAAATCACCACCATCAATCTAATTCTTTATACTAAAAACCAAGTGATTAATTTGTCATGCTAGCCAGACCCAGGAAATTCTAAACCAGTCGTAAATCAAGAGCCCTTTCGAGAAAATGCAAAACCACCGCCGGAGGAAATCAGCGGGGCAGAGCAAGCCCCGTCGCCCGTGCTGCCACGGTGCCCTCGGGCGAACAAACACGCTGAAGGCCCGGCTCACACCCCGGAGTCCCACACCAACAACCACTAACTTTCTACCAACATTCTCGGTCATTTTAAACAGATTTCTCAAGTCAGTCGCAACTTACTTTATCCACAGCTTGCTTCTACGACCTTACAAGTTCCTATTCATCATGTTGCCTTGGGGATTCTAATCCGTAACGACAGAGAAAAAGGTGGTTTATTCTCAAAATCCACAGCTCCTAAATTCTTTTCGGGACTTTCTGAAAGTTATACTGAAGTATGGTATCTCAAGTCATCCTGTTGCTCAGCATTGATTATATTTTTGGAACCAGACTACATGGGTGAGCCGCCATATCAAACGTATTGTTCTGTGAGGGAGCGGCGTTCCTTTTGTGATCAAGTGAAGCGTCAAAAATGTCCAAACCTCACACAAAAATGCTTTACAAAAGACCATTGTTATGGTTATTCATGGAAGAGAAACATTCCAAAGGTCAATGCTACTGGGAATATTTTAACAGGCATATGTTTTTAGGCAAATAGCTACATGCGGTTTTCTGGAATAGAATTAGAATTGTATGATGATTGTGTCTCGGACTTTTAAATGGAATTTGTTGTGTTTTCAGTTTCAAATCCAAAAGCTGGGAACATGCTGAAAAAAACATAAATCGCAATTCGATTTGTATAGGCCTACTTAAATGTGTGCTCACTATTACTGCGATATACTCGTTTGTTTTGTCATTTTTACAAAACAAAACAAAAAAAATGGTTCAATTATTCCAAGCGATTCCCGAAGGGTCTGAACCGAAATGTCTGTAAATAAACACAATTAGCACCGAAAAAATAAACCAAGGAACCGGGACACCCTCCGACGGTGAATCATCGTGTCCCCCGGCGCGTTAATTTACATATACCGGTGGACAAAAATCGTCGAAATATCGTGAGGAAAAATTCTAAATTGAATTTCGAATTACTGTTGTGATGAGTCAGATGCGAAATTTACTCATGGTGCGGAGGGGAATGTCCTGATTGGCCCCTGAACGTGGCCACAGTAATAATACCCTACCATCCAAAGGCGCCGACAATGTAATAACTTGTTCCTTATTACGCTCAGCGCAAAATTGAGGGGTAAACTATGTCGTTGTTTGAAAAAAAAGCCAGAAATAATTGAGAAAAAAATGTCTTTGTTTGAAAGAAAAACTGGAAATAATTCAAAAGGATGTCATGAAAGGCTTTAAAAAACAATGTACTATCACCCTTCAAGATACAATTGTTTGTATGTATAAAACTTTATTATTGTTTAAAAAATCCTGACCGTCTAGAGTAAATTTTCGATCATCAACAACTTTGTTCTCAATTTGCTTTTCCTTCGAGCGCATTCTCCTTGCAAATTTAAACTTTCATGCGTGCACAGGGCATGCAGGGTAACGACCTTGTTATTGCAAATATAACTCTCAGGTCTTTCCAAATTATGTTTCTAGTCACGCACGATGTCCGCGCCCGAAATGTCAATTTGGAATTGAGTTACAGCAACATGATCCTCGTGTATGCAAGAATAATGTACCTGGGCTTGATTATTTTGATTACATTATGTACTGAGATGTCACACAGTGTAGTGGTTTCCCCAGATACTTTGAAACAGTTAAAGGTGCCGTTGTAGCGTGAATTTAGGTTTGATGAAATACGGATTCATCGGTGGTATTGCGCATGCTCATGCATAGATAATTGGGAGAGAACGAGTCACATGAGAGGGTTTAACCAATAAAAGGGAAAATGAGTCCGATTTTCGTACGAATCCGATTTTCATATTTTAAGGGTCACATGATCCCAGAATACCTTTGATTTAAGAACTTAGGAATACCAAATTGGAATTGAGATTTGTTATTTTTTTGCGGGAGGGGAGTGGGGTTTTTTTTTGGGGGGGGGGTATGGACCCAGTCTCACCCTTTACGTTTCCCTTTGTAGCGGGCAAAACAACATTTTCATCAAATTCTGAATCCTCTGATACAATGATTTCCCCTTCAAAAGTTGAGTTAGGCCTTTCTCATTACTTTGTGGCGCACTCAGGATTTATTTGTTGGAAAAAAGTGAACAGTTTGTTCAGAATAATGATTCCAAACTTTATGAAACCTCGAACGTGACTGGAATATATTTGGACTTCGAATTAAAGCATGAGAAACTAGATTACATTGATCCCGTGCCAAGATTACCTTTGGGATGAAATACGCATGCGCATCATGATGTGCAACTGTTGAGGATCATGATACAAATAAACAGTACGCGTTATAATCTACCGGCACTTGGTAATCTCAGCATGGATGCCAAAGATTGATATAGGGATGAAACACGCGTGCGCATCATGCATGATGTGCAACTGCTGAGGATCATGGATAATACGGTACGCGTATTTTTACCGACACTTGGTAATCTCAGCATGCCAAAGATTGTTAGAAAAGGAAAGTTCTTGTTTTTTAATTTTTCTCTATATTTTCGACCTCGATTTTTGAACTAATTAGGGTTTTATGAAAGGGGTTAGGCCTTATCACAAACAGTATTTATTTATTTATTTTTTTACATTATTTACCCAGGGTATGCCCAAACAGTTTAAAACTGGTTTCCATTGGGGCCCTGCATACAATAAATAATGACTACAAACACGTATATACAATACATTAGAAATACAATACATTACAAATAAAATTCATTTCAATACAATGGGATAAAACATTATTTGATTAATGCATATTTGTTAAGCAAATATTATAAATACAACTTAGTATACAGTATGGGAGTCGAATAAAGTAACATCATATCAGCGGATAAAGCTTAAGGTAAAGGTAAAGGTATCCCATAGCATTACTGGCCGTAGGGGCAGTGGACCTCTATAGAGGTCCACTGAGACTTGGGCGCGCTGCATAATAAATGGCGGTGCCCATCTCCTCTCCTCTCGCCGTCTTACCTTCCCTGAACGAATCAAGTACCCATTTTTTCACTGTTGGGTCGTCAGAGAGAGTTTTCCAGTTTTGGGGATTCGAACCTTCCACTTCGTAGCCCCACGCTCTAACCGCTCGGCTTAAGAGCAGTAAAATGTTCAATAATTTTTTTTTTAAAACAGAGCATAACTTATTTGCTGAAAGTAAAACGAATACTTACAGATTTCCGGCGTTTCCTCAAAACTCCATGGGTCTCTTATTTGAAGATTAACATTCACAGTTCAACTTGACGACAGCGGGCCTTTACATGCTTCACCGCTGTACCACGGAGCAACTCTACAACATCATTACCGGAGACATTTTCCGGTCTGTCTTCGCTGCCACAACGCGTCAATCGTTGCAGAAACAAAATGAATCAAGTTGTTATTTTCCCGCGGTTATTGACTTCCAATTTGTGTCTGCCGGGCTGCTTTTCCCCGAGGTGACGCTCACGAGATACCCCACCGGTCTTCCGTGCTTTTGCTCCCTGATTACGCAGTGTGCCTTATGAGGCAATAACTTCCATCATCGCCATGGCTACTCCCGCGTTTTTATTTGCGGTAACCGCGCGTGCGTGTGTATGTGAGCAGACGATCAAAGCTAAAATGGAGTTTGATTGCGCGGGAGTTTTCCGTTCTTGAATTGGTGGTTGAGAGTCGGTGACTTGGCTAATGAAAAACATCTTCTGGATGTGAGAAAACCAAGGCTGTCTGTGATTGTATGAGGTGTCCACGAAGTGCACAAGCCTGCGCGATCAATTTAATATAATTATGGTGTGTGAAACTACTTTCCTCAAAATGAATCACTGTCACAGTGACTATAGTGCAGTATAGTAAGGTGCCACCATTAACACATCAGAAAATGGATTTTAATGTATCGTGGCCAACGGGTACAGTTGAGAAATAGCAATAATTTTGGCCACTGATTAGTCCTTTGTTCCCCCCCCCCCCCCCAGATAAGAATGAAGATGTATAAGTGTTGCACAAAATATCAAGAGGGAAATTGTTGAGGGAAATGTTATGAACACGTACTAACAGCAAATAACAATTTAATATCAAATCAATAAGTAAACAAACAAGCTGTGGTTAAAAACTTGAATCTGTGCTTAAAACATGAAAAAATTTAACCAAATAAAACAAAAGTCACCAAGTAAAAGCTAATAAAAAAGAAAAACACCCTTCAAAGATAGAACTGAAGTTACTGAGCGCAATCAAAAATTAGGATATTAAAACGTGACTGACAAAATGCAAAATTGCAAAATCAATCAAAATCGATACAGCTAGAAAATGACATGGCCTCCCTCTGATGGCGACAAAATTACACCGCCCCCACGCTGGGAACATGTCGCCATTTTGTCTACAAGACCCCTTAGCTAGGACAAAGAAATTTGCACTCATACCAAGCGAGCAAGGACACGTTATCAGACGCAGATGGGGAAATATTAAAAACATTTAATATTCAATTCTCAGCGGGCGGCTTGGGGGTTATTAACGCGCCAGCGCTTCAGCTCGGGAAGAATTTAGATGTAAAAGATAACAGGACGCGTTATGGTTCAGCGTTTATAAGTTATTGTTCCAGTGTATCGTGCTTACATCTTTTTAAAATTCCATTTTTAAACAGTCCTCTTGAAAATGTAATTTAAAAACCACAAGGAATATAGGCCTGTGATTGTCGTGCGCATTGTGAAATTTTCTCCTTAAAAAGGTTACACAATTTCACTTGGGTTACATGTATATTTCTCTCGTTTTAGAGGACAAAAGACAAGTGTGGCCATTAGTGGAACTGTTGTAACTTGGGCCCATGCAATGCATTATTAATGCAGTCCTTGAAGAGACACATTTGTGCCCTATTTAACCTTATTTCAATTTTCATTTTGCCATTTTCAAGGGTATTTTGATGACTTTTTCTTTGGTTTTTATAATGCGAATTTACATATTTTACATGATCAAAAGTGTGATGTCATGGCAGAAATCCTCAAGGTAACAGCTATTTCAGCACCAAAAGTTACCAGAATTTTTGGATAATTATGTTGTCGTAAATTTTCTTTTCTTTGGTGAGTCGTTGTTGTGCCAATACTTGGCAGTAAGACCATCAGCATTTTTTCTCAAAAATGTTTTTAGTAAGCCAATTATTGGGTTCACAATTGGAACAGAAAATCCCAGAACCGAACAGTGTTTTCCTGAGATGACATCACAGCTACAGCGCCCACTGTTGTCAGGAAAAGCAATGAATTTCTTAATGTTTAAAGAAGTGCACTTTTGACTAAAATTAACCCAAAAGGGATGTCAAATTGTGTAAGAGGAGTAGAAAGTTGCACACAATGTGCTCCTCAGAAATATGCATGTCATGGGCCCTTTAACAAAATATCAAATTGGTAGTTCGGTCTTGTGACTACTATTTTCTTTATTACATCCAGAGAAAAAAAATATATATATATATCACCCAAACGAACAGGTTAACAAAACATGCAGTCTGCCTCAGTAAACAGACCTAATTATTTAACCTTAATCGATAAACGCTCCTAGTGAGGGAATTGAAAGTATAAATGAACTTTACGATAAATCAAAACACTTTCTCGCGTACGCAGAAATTTGGGTTTGAAACAGCGTTTGGTCGCGTGACAATGCTTTCAAAAGTGCTTTATTGATAGAAAATTAAACAGTGTTGATTTAGCATTTGACACAACCTAATTATTACCACCGATTTAATTAGCACCAGATGAGCATTATTGATTTCGTAAGCCTATTATACAACAACACTACCGCCAAGATGTCTCATAAATTACTGTTCAAACAAAATTGGAGAAAACCATCGACCACACTAAAAGTCCTGAGGAAAATACGCTTGCGTACACGTCGCACGCGTTTCATTTGTGTGCGTATTTTGGTAAATTGCAAGCACCTTATTGGTCGAATGAACATTCAACGCGCGCACGTGTGCGCGTGAGAGTGGTTACACCTGTTCGTCTTGTACTTTCCCCCAAAGGTAAAAATCTACATTCTCATTTGAAATTTAATTAATTTACAATTTATTGCACAATATGGCCTATTTTCAAAGTCATTAAAAAAATTACCTAAACTATAATCTACATATTTTACAAAATCAAACAATACGAAAAACTAATTATTTTCTTTACTGCACTTGAAGGATCTAGAAGGAAAATGGTTGTCCACAAAAAAACAAGGCAATGAAATGTTTTTTAAAAAGCCTTTAAAACAGAAAAGCCTTTATAAATTTCCTGTTTGAAAACTTTTTCTTTTTGAAAGAATGGATAAAATAGTTGTCTTCAAAGCTGAAGCTTAGACAGCTTTCTACATGGCTCTTGTTTTGGGGTTTTTTTTGTTTTAGAGTTCCCGCCGTTTCACATCCAGGCCACCAGTTGTTGGCGCTGTTTACAGTTGGCGCTGTTTATACCTCCGCCGACAGAGGGTGCAGTTTACACGTAGGTTGATCCGTGCTCGTTCCGGATGGACCTCCACATGATGAAGGCGAAGACGATGCCAAGAATCTGAGAAAAGACGGCCCGATCGGGAATGGGAAATATCAACGAGGAGAGATTTATTGCAAAGATTAGAGAATTACCTAAAGGAGCAGAAATTAGAAGGAAAAAAGTAGCCGAGAAATTTAAAAGAAAGTTTTGAACTCTCAAAAAGGATGTTTAATGGATTTACCTGAAATACACCCACGCCAATTCCAATGCCTCCGACGGCCCCTATGTGCCTCCGTAGTTCCTCAACCAAAGCGTCCTTACAACCCTTGCAAAGTCACAAAACAAAAATATCCTTCAGTTTCGATAAATGTGAAATCTTTAGGTCCTATATCAACGTGTTATCAGAATCTAATCACCATCATGACTTGTGCAGTATCAACACTATCACCATATTGCTTTCACTCTTGGAAGTTATCGGAATCATTATCACCACAATCACCATAATCACAATTATCACCAAAAACACCATAATCATCACAATCACCATAATCACCACATCACCATAATCACTTTAATCACCACAAAAACACACACTAACCATAATCACCATTATCACCATCCCTGTACTCTCAACACAATCACCATAATCACCAAAATCATCACAATCACCATAATCACAACAATTACCATTATCACGTAGTCACTACAATCACCATGATCACCGTAAGCACCGAAAGCACAGTATTAAATCACAATCACCACAATAGCCATAAATCACCACCATCACCACTTTGTACTCACCCTATCCCATTTGTCCGCCAGCGGGTCAATACCACAGCCTCCTATGTGCGTCACGCAGCATGAATCAGGCGTCTGCCCCCGCCCGTACAATCGCGGATGAAACTGCTGCCAGTCCGTCGCATTGGTAACACCGCAACACAACAACTGGCAACAAGAATCCAAGAGTTTGTTATGTAACCGAGAAAAGAATAACTCCCTTCACACAAGAAGGTAAAATATATTCATAATAATTCGTCGCATTGCTCACGAAGTGACAAAAAAACCTCAACTGAATTTCGCAAAAGTTAATCCCGAGATAATCACATTTGAAGTTATTCATTTTTTTGCAAAAGACATTTTCGACTACTTCGCAAAAACAGAATTCGAAATGTTTGCATTCTCCGATGCTTATGATTTGTAGTTGTTTGTTTAAAAATAGTTCTTAATTAAACAGTAATTCATTAATAATAAAAAAAATTGCACTTTGTGATGCGATTGGGCTCAAAGGTGGCGCTATTTTGCCATGTTGTGGAGGGGTCGTTTGTCAAGATGGCTACTTTTCCGTTTTGGGAAAAATAGGGGTCGTAGTCTTCTTTGGGTAAGAATTTCTCGGAAAGTCAATCGTCAACCAAAGAAAATGAAAGATGGCATGTTGATCATTATTATTATGTGCAGCTTAAATACCTTTGAGAGTTCTGAGCATTGTTAAAAGAATTTTTAGGTATGGGCATTTAGCACTGGTGTCTATGGGATTTTGCATCCTTAATTGTCCACGCTCTTGGCTACGAGCTCCCAACCCTCTACCCACATCCCCTAAAGGGTGCCCTCTATCGGCTATTGCCAGACTTACGAAGTTTTGCATTCGATCCCATGCCGTGCTTAGTCCCTGCTGCCCCACCGTACCGTACAGCGGCAGGCCGTTCTGGGTTAGGTCCTTCTCCACGAACGCTGCCACCTGATTCCTATTAGCGATGCCTAGCCCGCCCGCTATCATCTCAACGATCAGAATACCAGACATCAGGACAAAATACTCAAAAGGGGAGTAAAAGGAGAGTGATAATCAGCACAGTCTAGAAGTCAAATTTGACGCAGAATTCGGGCTCTGCGAATGAGCTTATCCTTTTCAGTGTCAATATGACACTTTCCCGAGTCAGTATGACACTTTCCCGAGTCAATATGACACTTTCCCGAGTCAATGTGACACTAATTCTCTAGATCATTTTACGTGTCATTTTTTAACTGGAAACCGAACATATTGTCATAATTTGACCCAGAAAACTATTTTAAACTGGCAAAGTATATCAGGCAAATCAGGTTTCTGTGTAAAGTCTGGCCACTTTTTTTCCTCACATTATGATAGAAGCGTCATTTAATCAGTTAATGCTCTCGGCTTTTATTCTAATTACTCAGGACTATATGCGTTGTTATTGGTTTGTGAAATACGACATCAGCAGCTCTCATGAAAGGATTGGAAGGAGAAACGCAATGGTTAAAAGGTATGGCTCGCAAAAGCCAAACATTCCAAAGGTGCTTAAGTGTTTATTTTTCATTTTAACACTTTCATGCGACCCTTTCAATGTGTAAGCCTAATCAGTTCAGAAACCCCATCCAATAAGCTTCTATTAAAGTGCAGTCTTCGAATTTCACCACGAGATGTGTTCCTTTTGCGAAAAGACAAAAATCAGAGCCATCTCATCCCTTTCAAATCGGAGAGATATTTGCTTTAATTTTTCAATTCTTGAAGGAATTCGTGAGTTGCTTACTTACTGTAAACACCATGCAGGCATTCTCGCGAATAGCCCCACAGCATCCCAGAAAAGATACGAGCATGATTACCCCGCCCACAATCATGGTCACAGTCGCCGCATTCAGGAACGGGAAACTGGGGAGGAGGGTGGCGAACGGGCCTTCGCGCGTGAAGAGATAGGCGCCTGCAGCTAACACTGTTCCCCCGGAAAGCTGGGGAATACCGGACAGAAATATGGGAGAACATGATCACATAGGAAACCCCTTTGTTCCTGAACAGTCTTCTTCTTTTTTATTTACGTGATGTGTTGCTTTCGGAGATTTCAAGAAAAGTTCTCAGTGAAGGGAAAGCAAAATTCGCAAAGTTCATTTCTATATGCAACATTTTATTCTACTGAGATAATACTTATACATTTTCAAATAAAAAGTCTTTATGATTTGTGTGAAGTTAATGTTGAAAGACTGCCAATGTTTCTGTCGTATTTATTGTTTAAACCATATGAAATAGCTAAAATGAGAATGAGAATCGCTGAGTGGAACCTGTATTCAAAGTTCAAATCAATTCAATTCTGATAGTATCAGCCATTAAATAAAACTGTGGGGGCACGTAACCTCCATCCATGTACCTGCTGCCCGGATACAAGGTTATATTTAGATTGACCCATGTTGTTGTTTACATGTGACCTATGCAAATGTGGCGCTTGTTTACCCAATGCCCCTTCGCTCTTGAAACAAGTAGGTCCATAGTTTTAGAATTTTTTCTTCTACATTTCTTCTTATAATTGTATAAGAATGACAATTTTGTGTAAGTGGAAGTTCCTTTGAGTATATTATGTCATTTACGGGTGTAACTAATCCGTAACAGCATTTTGTTGAGGGTGCAATAATATTTTAGAGACACTTGGTGATGTGTCCGCATCGTGCACGTGCGGGATCGGGAGCGCGCGAAACGTAAAACAGGCACTGCTTGTCTTCCAACTTTTGGACGGCAGTCGCTTATTTTGTAGCCAGGAATTTCTCGGTGAGATTTCACCTTTCCTGTGCTGTTTGCCAGCATAATCATGTGCTGAGAGGGAAGGTGGGCGCCTCTAGAACCTGTGGTGAGTGTCCTTTTTATTATAACTTTGCGGGAAACTTGCGTTTTTGTGACACTTTCACTCACGAACTTTCCAATTTTGCAGCGTCGTCGTCATAGCTACAGTTGTGCATATTCCCACACACACCCACGTTGTACTACGGAAGCTTGAATTGCCTTCCGCGATACCGCGTTACTGCGATAATTTATCACAGAAATCGTGAAATCAAAGATAAATCGTTCAACGATACCGCGTTACTGCGATAATTTATCACAGAAATCCAGAAATCAGAGATAATTCCTTCCGCGATACCGCGTTACCGCGATAATTTATCGCAGAAATCAGGAAATCAGAGATAATTCCTTCCGCGATACCGCGTTACTGCGATAATTTATCACAGAAATCGTGAAATCAAAGATAAATCATTCAACGATACCGCGTTACTGCGATAATTTATCACAGAAATCCAGAAATCAGAGATAATTCCTTCCGCGATACCGCGTTACCGCGATAATTTATCGCAGAAATCAGGAAATCAGAGATAATTCCTTCCGCGATACCGCGTTACTGCGATAATTTATCACAGAAATCGTGAAATCAAAGATAAATCATTCAACGATACCGCGTTACTGCGATAATTTATCACAGAAATCCAGAAATCAGAGATAATTCCTTCCGCGATACCGCGTTACTGTGATAATTTATCACAGAAATCCAGAAATCAGAGATAATTCCTTCCGCGATACCGCGTTACTGTGATAATTTATCACAGAAATCCAGAAATCAGAGATACCTTTTCCTCGATACCGCGTTACTGTGATAATTTATCACAGAAATCCAGAATTCAAAGATATGTATTCCTCGATACCGCGTTACTGTGATAATTTATCACAGAAATCCAGAAATCAAAGATAAATCATTCAACGATACCGCGTTACTGCGATAATTTATCACAGAAATCCAGAATTCAAAGATATGTATTCCTCGATACCGCGTTACTGTGATAATTTATCACAGAAATCCAGAAATCAAAGATAAATCATTCAACGATACCGCGTTACTGCGATAATTTATCACAGAAATCCAGAAATCAGAGATAATTCCTTCCGCGATACCGCGTTACTGTGATAATTTATCACAGAAATCCAGAAATCAGAGAAACCTTTTCCTCGATACCGCGTTACTGTGATAATTTATCACAGAAATCCAGAATTCAAAGATAAATCATTCAACGATACCGCGTTAGGCCAAAAAAAAAAATATTCGGTCTCTGGTCAGACCAAAGTTCCGGAATTGACGCGGCCACGCGGCTTTTTTTTTCTTTTTTTTTCTTTCTTTTTCTTTTTCTTCAAGCTTGGATTGTACAGACAAGGTGGGTACTATTTTGCTTTTTTGGTGTCCTCATGTACATTAGTTTCCTCCATAATTTGCCTAGGTGCTTTCGATCATTTGCCTTGGTGCAATTTCCCATTCCTTGGTGCTCTGTGGTGAAAAAAAAATTGAGAAGGTGCGGAAATAGAGGGCGCTGTTGGAGCTACCGCGGAACATTTTGGGAAAAAAAAGATCGACGCGCATGATTAAAATCGACGCGCGCGCTGACCAGAGACCGACTTATTTTTTTTTTTTTGGCCTTACCCTGACAATTTATCACAGAAATCCGGAATTCAGAGATAAATCATTCAGCGATACCGCGTTACCGTGATAAATTATCACAGTAACGCGGTATCGCGGAAGGAATTATCTTTGAATTCCGGATTTCTGTGATAAATTATCGCAGTAACGCGGTATCGAGGAATACGTATCTTTGAATTCCGGATTTCTGTGATAAATTATCACAGTAACGCGGTATCGAGGAAAAGGTATCTCTGATTTCTGGATTTCTGTGATAAATTATCACGGTAACGCGGTATCGCGGAAGGAATTATCTCTGATTTCTGGATTTCTGTGATAAATTATCGCAGTAACGCGGTATCGTTGAATGATTTATCTTTGATTTCTGGATTTCTGTGATAAATTATCGCAGTAACGCGGTATCGCGGAAGGCAATTCAAGCTTCCGTATTGTACTTCTATGCACAGCGCATGAACTCGCGTTGTGAGTGTGTGTGACCTTTGACCACCATTGTGTGTACACATTCACCATGTATTTTGACCGTAGTGTTGTCTTGTCTTATTTTTCCGTAGGCAGTAGACTGCACCTGGGGATCTTTTCCAACCTGGGGATCTTTACCATACTGGATCTTTTTCAGCGATCTTTACCATACGGGATCTTTTGTACTCTGATTCTGCTGATGATTGAATAAATTCTCCATTAATTGTTGAAGATATAATTTGGTGATGCTGTGTAATTCATCTAGATAGCCTCCAAGTTCCAACACACTTATCCTAATTTAGTTTGGGATGGAACTCCCTTCATCATGCTGTGACACCGCAGTACTGAAATCACTTCAAAACATTACGTCTCACTTTATCAACCATAATCTGGAAAAGTACTATGCAGTTCATGTAAATTTTGATTACTTGTAAAAACTTCAGTTCAACTTCGCCATAAAGTAAACTCGTTTCTGACGATGAAAATCAATTACTGCCAAGGACTATTCCCTGGTTTGCAGTATCTGTAAATGTAATGGCGCACGTGGACCAGCGTCAAACATCAGAAAGCAGTACTGGATTAATCGGGAACCAGCCTATCTTCGCACCCGCTGTGAAGTGACATGGCGCCCTCTATAGTGTATGTATAATGTACGGAGCATACATGATTCAAAATGCTACCAATAGGGGGCTTACTTACAAAGAAAAGAAGATTGAAGATGAAGAGCAAGTACTTCATACAGTTGGCGCAACCGGTAAGCACCATCTTGAAAATCGGCAAATCGACTTCCTGCAGCTAAAAGGTATAACCTATAAAAAAAAAAAAAGTGCCGCCAAAAATAATACTTCAAGGCTTATTCAAGTAGACAGTGGCGTACGTGAGGCCGGGGAATTGGAGGTCCCCCCCCCTTCCGCTCGAAGCCTTCCCCTCCCCCTCCCTGCACGTGGGTGAAATGACGCCCCCATATAAGTGCCCCCTCCCCCTGCAAAATATTGTACTCCAGTTTCGCCACTGCTAGTATACATATTGTGTTGTTCTTGAGCTTTCGCCTTACCTTTCTGGGATCAATTTATTGTTAACTGTCCATTGTAGGAAATTTCTTAAAGCATTCTTCTGCAAAAGAAAGTGAAGTCCTGTAGACACTATTTCGGTGAAGTTTGTATTGCATGCCATGAGTCATGTAGATCGGATGCAGTAAATCTACTACTCGTTGGGTCTGCCTAGCCTGGCCCTTTCCCCAACTGACACAATTTACTCTTCCCAAATGCTAACATTAAAACCGTGGATTAAAACCAAGCTACACTGATGACGTCAGCGTATTTAATACCGTCATCCGGGTTTACACTAAAAGGTGCGTCAGAACAAAGTATCGTTGCATGCGTGAAAAAAACCCAGACATGTACCTCATAATTTTTAATGAGGCCATAATTATTGTCACTGTATACATTCTATGCAAATCCCCCTTTCAATGCGAAACTACAATCCCATCAACAGTGCAAAAAATACCCCACAAAATGCATGCAGTAACCGTCATATACAAGTGGAAATGCATGGGCGGAAAATTGAAAAAGGAAGCGCAATGATAAATAACCCGTTCACAGTATTTTGTTACAAACTATAAGCCTACGCCCTTTCCTTCACGTTTTAATAGGAAAACAATAGCAAGTGGTTTGTCTTAGATGTTAGTTTTTTTACGAGACATGTTTTTTCTTTCTTTTTTCTTCAAAAGATTAAGTCACAAGAACGGAACTATAACTGTTATTTGGGGAAGAAATATTTATACGGCAAAGAATGAACGTTTTACGCAGTTGTTTCAGTAACTCACGCAGACTAGAAAAAAATCCTTGTACTCGAGTGAACTAGGTTTTAAAGATATGCGGATTCTTTTCGATTGAAATTCATTCGAAGTAGTCACTCAAGAAAACATTACATTCAGCTCCCCAAAGTTGACATTTACACGTGAAATCATAAAGTTGTTGGTAATTAGTTTGGAAGTTTAAGTTTGACATAGAGCTCACTGATTTGTTACAACGATTTTCTAGATGGATCACAAACGCACTTGTCATAAAGGCCTATTTAGGATCGGACTTCTTTAAACCTGAAAATCTTGAATAAATTCAGCGACACATCATACGCCTATACATGTACTCAAGTCCATAAGCAATACGGTTTGTTTACTAATAATTTCAGGTTCGGCTTTTTAAAAATCACGAAGAAAACAAAACTTACCCACGTAGTCCTGCTCCGGAAACCAAAATGCCTTATCTCTGCTTATTCTTTACTCGTTCCATAGGCCTATGCGCATGCTCCAAAGGTAAACTTCGTGTGAAATACAGAGCTACGTTTTCAGACTTGTTCTGTGTATTGTGCGCACTTCAAGCTTTCTCCTATACAGGAACTTCGAAGTGATGAAAAATTTCCCTTTTCCTTCGAGTTGTTACCTAGGAATAGACTGGAGATGGGATCTCACTGAATGAGGGTAGGCCAGGGCTTGCAAAGATCTGACTTCTCATTGGTTGTTGCGTCGTGACGATCCTTCTTTTGACATCGTTTGATTGGTTGGCTTACATGTATTTACGCACGCGCGCGCGCGAGCGTTGATGGGTGCACTGAACCAATTCAAGCCCCATTGAAAACAGTATAAAATCAACAAAGTTCAGGGCCAAATAACATGCAAGCCGACATCACTGGGGTTTCCTAACCAAAAATTAAATTATTGTCTTAAACTTCATCATTTCATTTCTTTTCAATTTTGGGTAGACTAGCCGATTACATTTTTAAATATTCACACCAAAACAATATCACCTCCCGAAAAGTGATAGTTCCCAAGCCTGGCCTGCATGTAGCCGTTTTACAAGTGGCATCCTTCCACTTTCTCGGGCAAATAGGACCCATTTTTCAACCGTAATTTTATCAAGCCTGCCCTCGGATGGAAGCCCCAAACCCGGGGGGGGGGATCCTTGGCTACTGTACAAATTACACAATAATTCCACCGTTTTTAAAGCCAAACGGTCTCCGTTTTCAAAAGAAACTGTGGGGTCACTTTTTATGCTAATCAGCTCGCGTAGAAATTCTCACTTGAATTAGTTCACTTCACCCTGATTGAGCAACAGTCAACCAATCATAATTGCGAATCGCCAACAGACTATAAGGTGGGGGAGTTAAATATTTCATCGATGGGGGAGTTAAACATTCATCGAGCATCGCTTTGTGCTAAAAGTACGGACACCAACAATTTAATGAGTGACAAGACTATTCGGAACTACGAAGAGACTCGTGTTTATTGACCACTGATTAACCACCTCACAATTCCTAGCAATTACATCTACCGACTATGATCATTATTCTACGACCCAACAGTCACTGCTCACCATCAGAAATGAAGAAAGCACGGTTTGACAACAAGCTGCTTCAATTCAACAATCCAAAGTACCGTACTTTTTTGCTCGTTGAGGAAAACCTCTGGCAATTATGCTTAAACCTTCGTCGGGAAAAGTACAATTGTTAAAGTTTCGGTTTTAATTTAACATTCATACATTGCAAATATATTCCACGCTGACATCAGCTTCCATGACGTCATGAGATGAAGACGTATGGGCCAATGAAACACAATTATGGGCGGGGTCTGAGTAACAGAGACTGCCGACTGTGAATGTGACTCACATGCATAAACAATTATAAACAATGTTCACTTTCCAAATTTCAGCAAAATACACACTGCAAAAACCTGTGGAAAAATGGTCCAAAATTATGTCATATTACAGAAGACAAAACTTACCCTAGTAAAATAGTACAATTCCAATAAACAAGGTAGGTATATGAATCGGCTATACAGTACGAAAATATGAAGGTTTTTTATAAGAAAATATGATTCCAAAGATAAAACCAACAACGTTTCTTTGTAGAAGGGAACAACTTGTCGATTTCGTCATAGTTTTGCAGAATTAATATCAATAAATTCGTCATTTTCTATGATTCATACATTTTTCTTCTCGAGTTTCACGTCATGCATAAGTAGTACATGTATCCACACGTTGCATAGACTCCTTGCAAAACTTTTCAATGCTCGTGCCTTCAGTACGTTTCTATCAGCAGAAGGTGGTGATAAATCAAAGCGACTGGTGTGGGAGACTAGCAGAGTACGGCGTGCACATGAGACAACATTTACGCAAATAGGAATGATTTAAGCAAGCTTCATCATCACAATGATTTTCTAAGTGGAATTAGGCAAAATGATTTTCCTTGAAAATATTGACATATCCAAGATCAGGTTATAATAACAAAGAATATAATACAAATCTGTGCAAGAAACAGTTCTTTTCAAGGCATTCTTTTCAGCATGCAAACAAAAATGATGGCAAAACTTTGTGCAGTGCCCAAGACTTGACAAAGGAAGTAGTACTCATAGCTGCTTATTAGACAAATTTGTTAAAAGAGAATTTGGCTTTCTGGTTACCAGCCAACATGCTATACTGCTTGCAGGCAGTGAAGGACGTTTACCAGCTAATCTCTGCAAAGTAAATTTGCTTACTAGTACTCTAACTGCTTAGTACTTTCACTCAATTTAGGCCCCAAGAGTTAATGACCCATTGTAGCCGCAATTTTTTCCCCCAACTACATTTCAAGTGTTTTTTCCTTATGATATTTCAGGTGAACAAAAAAAAGTTATAAAAAGGATATAAAGATCCATAATGCCCTCCATAACATCACTTCCATATGTGAAGTTAAAGGGGCAAACAAATTTGGAAACAGCCTTTTCATGCAGACCACTCAAGACCACAGATTGGGGGAGTCTCTTTAAAATCTGTTTCAAAAGTTGAATTTCTATTAGTCCCGTTTGCCATTTACACCTGTCATCTAAGAAAATAGATATGAAAAAATAAGAATACATATTTAATACTATAAAGATATAAGTTAAATGACATATATGACCAATATACTACAGTCATAAAATCTACAAAGTTTCAAATAAACGCACGGTTATACTTTGTAGAGGTAAAGGGAGGAAAAGCAAACTAAAAGCCTCAAGCGAAAAAAAGCAGATTGTTTTGAAAAAAAAAAAGTCTTGTAATATTCTGACCTTGATGTACAACACATTTTCTGTACATGCCCCCAAAAATGTAAAAAAACTTTTCCTAGTTCCTAAAAATATGAATCTGTTATGTGTAATGCATATGTAAATATGCAAATGTATGCATAAATTACTGCAGCCACTGCATGCAGTATAAAAACAACCAATTCTGCACTTCTGACTGGATATACCGTAAAGGAATGGTGGTGACTGACCCTAAAACACAACCTTATGCAAATTTATGCAAACACATGCAAATCTATGCACAAACCACCCCACCCCAGTTTTACAGTCATATTAATATATCCTCCCTACCAAGATAATTGCTTTTTGGTGTACACATACAAAAGTTGGCTTTTTCAGCCTCAACAAATAATACCTCGAATTGTGACTGATCAAACTCATACAATATGCTAATGAGCTAATTTAATATTCAAATTCTTGCCTGATTTTTACCTTGTTATCCTATGCCCATGTCAATTTTTAATTTCAATGAAATAACAGTATTACGACAGCTCTCAAAATATTTATTACCACATCATAAGGGTGCAAAAACATCTTGCTGTAAATTACAAAAACCTTTAATAAATATACAAGCAGAGCTACACGTGCGATATTTGCCTAAAACTACACGGACTAGGTCTTGTCGCTAGCTATAAAGTAACTTTTGTTTCGAGTCTATGGTTCCAGCCACATTCAAAATGTGACTTTTAGCCAATCCTGAATCATTAAGTAATGCTGACCTGAGGTCAACTGGCTGGTAACCCAATCATTATTCTAAGAGTTTTAAACACAAATGCAGGGCACCAGTAATTCACTCAGCCAATCAAATTTCTTCAGAGACATTCCAGCAACTTTTACAAATGAATCAACACCATATTTGCCAGTGATTAACATTTTTTCCCAACACTTTTGGCAAACCTGGAACCACAGACTCCGAGACAAACTGCAGAGTAGTACTTTCTATTTTATGCTAAACAATCCAGTGGTTACAAAACCAACACAATTTACACACGGCATCCATGATCCAACAATTTGAAATCCATTAATAATTTTCAAAAAAAGTTCAGTTGAAATATTCTTTCTTTGTAGTACTGTTTAGACCTTTACCGAAAAATATCATCATCGGGGTTTATAACTAAGCAGACATCAGTTTCCACTTACGAATACTAAATGACACACCGAGTTCACAGTGTTTATACGTCGGTGAAAGGCAAAACCTAATATTGATTTACATCACCCCAATACAAATTCCATCTTATGAAAAGTTTAATTGCGGTACCCGCTGCTACATCAGATTTGTATCAGCTAATCCATTCTGGCGAGCTTGGTGGTCGAGTGGTAAGACATCTGCACTAGAAGGCAGGAGGTCGTGGGTTCGAGTCCCACCCGAGTTATTTTTCCAACTTTCGCTCGGAAGGTAACACACTGAGTATACAGTGTTTAAACATCGGTGAAGGGCAAAACTTAATATGGATTACACCACGTCGACACAAATCCATCTTGTGAATAGAATAAATAGATATATTGAATGGTGGGTATATTTCCCTGCCACTGATTTAATACCCCAAAGAAGTGAAATAGTTGGATCAGGGATGGTATACAAGACGTGTAATATTTTATCTTCAGCGCATACACATTATTATGAACAGGTAAAATCTGACAATATCATCAACCAATCGCATCCCTGGTACCACGATACAGATAGAGGGCACCCTATAGCCGACGTTAACCAATCCTTTTACTCAAGAGCGGAGTAGCCAAGTTGAAAGCCACGTCAATTTCATAAAAATTTTAACCCGTAACAAAAAGAAAGTTATAGCTCATCACGTCCATTTTTTAAAATTTGAAAATCCCTTTGACATAATTTTTGTTTTGTTGCTTAGACTGGCTACCGCCAGCACGGCCGGGTACCAGGGATAGGCATGTCTGGTTTCAGACCCATCATAACTACCCACGCGTTGTTTAAGCCTTGGCGTTTTCACGCTTGATGTTGCAGTACAGCACCATAGCAAACACCATGCCCAGGATCTGTGGATATTGAAAATACAAGGAAAAATACTGCTAGAAAATAACGTCAAAAAGGTGAACAAGCATTACATTCACTGTGTGGACATCCGAACAAAAGATGTCCACATAAACCAGGCACATGTACATGTAGCAGCGACGTTGTGTGGACTTGCCCACGTCCACACAAGTTTTTCCTCTCTGGAAAACTGGTTCAGAGGCATTTTTGGGTTAGGTTATCTGTGGCAAAATGAAGAGAAACACTAAAAAGGGAATCATAGAAAAAAAATTGGGTTGAAAGTGTTTTCACAGTTTGAGAACAACGATTTGTTTTACTGGTTTTTCTACACTACACAAAAAACAAACAACTACACAAAAAAGAAAGGAATGTCTACACTATCGTAGGTATGTAAAACAAACATGCGTGTCTGCATGGGTGTGTTTATGGTGTACATCGAGGACCCACACTAGAAGAACTTCTGTATTTGTCCCGGACATGTTCCGTTACAATTCTCATCAGCAACTGCTTGACTCATCGGGGCCGTATCATAAGTCCGACGCCTCATAGGTCCGACGCCTCATGAGTCCGAAATTTCGGACTTATGAGGCGTCGGACTTATGAGGCATAACATTTATTTATTCCGCCTCATAGGTCCGACGCCTCATAAGTCCGACGCCTCATAAGTCCGACAACGGAAAAACGAGGTGTTTCATTTGTCGGACTTACGAGGCGTCGGAGCTATGAGGCGTCGGACTTATGAGGCGTCGGACCTATGAGGCGTCGGACTTATGGGCCTTTATAGGGGATACGATTTTGTCGGATTTATGAGGCGTCGGACCTATGAGGCGTCGGACTTATGAGCGGACCCCGACTCGTCAATACTTACAACTTTGTGGCCAGAATGTTGCAGGATGTTGTTCAGAATACCCGATACCATGTCTGCAACTTGTTATTAAGAACTCGTCCCTGATATCAGTGATAATTGAGACGATCCTAACCTACCTGGAATAAACCGATAGCAATTCCCCCAGCAGCGATGTAGTAGATGGAATCTTCCAGTTTCTTGATCAGCGCTTCTTTGCAACCCTTCAGAATAATAATAATAATAATAATAACAATAATAACAATAATTACCGATAATTGGGTATTAGGGGACATTCCCTTAAACTTGTGCCGACACATTTATTTCCAAATAACCCCTAACTCTAATTTTACCTTATCCTACATGTACCCCCAATTTCGGTATTTTTACTAATTGGACCACAAGCAATCGATCTATAGCCTATTTGCGACAATAATATTTTTGCCTCCAAGTGGAATTAGGGAGACATTGAAATGAGATTATTTCAAATTGAACATACCTTAGAGTATTTTCCAATAAATGTAGGATTTATCCCACATCTATCCGTGCGCAGAGCCTCTACGCAGCAAGAATCTGGGGTTGAGTTAAGTATGTAGCTATCATGGTTGGTTGACCAGTCGCTGATGCCATTCACGCCACAACACTCGAACTGTACACATACACAAAATCAAAATAACATTAATATGTATACGGAGCCTGACTTTAGAATCAACTGCTCGGTTTCTTTGTGACAGCAATGCTCTGTGTGATCTGGGTCAATGTCAGTAATGTATACATGTATGCTGTACAAGATATCCAATCCGCTTCATCCAATGTACGATTATGTCCCTGAGCTGTATGTGCCAGCAAGGAACACTCGGCTTGCATCGTCTCAGTATCCGCTTACTCTGCAGCCGATGAGATGTCGCACCAGCCAGTTCCAGCGTTGTTTCTTGCCCAGTGCCATACAGCTATGGAATTCCTCACATGGTGACATATGTGTAGCAGGCAGGGCGCATACTATTAAGTCAATGGCCAACACGAATCTAAGGTTCATTTAGTTATATCTAGTGTTCCTTGTTATTGTCCAGTTTTTAGACAATCACACATGTTCTTGTTTTCTCGTTCTTTATCGTGATTGTTGTCTCTTGATGGTTTTTGTTTTCTTCGCTGACGCTTCAGGTGCGTGGGTGTTACTGTAAAGCAACTTAGGCCAAATTGAAAAAAAAACATGCTTAGTGTCCCCGCCTGCTTCCTTTTTGGAGGCCGCCTTGGAGTGACATCATTTTGGCCTCTTTGTCTGTTGCATCTCGCCCATATAAAGCTGGTATGTCATTTCCTGAATCCAAGTGGCGGCCATTTAAAAAAAAAATGGCCATCTTAAAATATAGCCCAGTCGGGCGACCATTTTGGTGGAAAAAGGCAGGACACTAAACATGTTTTTTTTTTAAATTTTTTTTTTACTTGGCCTTATTGTGCTTGCACTTTTCCCACACTACCTGTTTTGGACAAAAGTAGGACTTTTGCGGGCTTTCAAGGGAGCTCTGTTTGTGTGCAGTTCAATAATTTATGTCATTTGGAATCTGCACCTGATATATCTTTGTGTGCGATTCAGGCAATGTATTCAGTGGTCGATCTCCCCCCGATTTTCTTTGATGCCTTTATAGGGCACTATCACACAAAAGTGACCACAGCTGCAAAATGTACGAAATATTCCAAAACTACAAGCATCACCATCAAATGTGTCAAATTAAAGGGGACGACAAGATCTTTCATTTGAGTGGTGTGCCAATGAGATGGAATCTAGTTACTTACATGTGTAAGTGTGATTTTCGGTCAAAAAAAGTTGGCTAAAATTGTGGAGTTTTGGTAGTCATTTTGGCACCTTGTTTTAACACCCAAAATGTGACTGTTGGGCAAAAAAAAAAAAATAAGTCGGTCTCTGGTCAGCGCGCGTGTCGATTTTAATCATGCGCGTCAATCTTTTTTTTCCCCAAAATGTTCCGCGGTAGCTCCAACAGCGCCCTCTATTGCCGCACCTCCTCAATTTTTTTTTACCAAAGAGCACCAAGGAATGGGAAATTGCACCAAAGCAAATGATCGAGAGCACCAAGGCAAATTATGGAGGACACCAATGTACATGAGGACACCAACAAAGCAAAATAGTACCCCACCTTGTCTGTACAATCCAAGCTTGAAGAAAAGAAAAAAAAAGCAAAAAAAAAAAAAAAAGCCGCGTCGCTGCGTCAATTCCGGAACTTTGGTCTGACCAGAAACCGAATATTTTTTTTTTTGGCCTTATTGAGCGTTTGTGTGATTAAGGCAGAGAGAAAGTCTCATATCATAAGAGAAGAGTTTCTTTATGTTGCAGTTCATCAAACTCAGATTTTAAGCGTGTTAGAAAACATGAAGACAAAGTAACGTGAGTGACGTAATGTGACGTAATGTGAGTGACTTAACGTGAGTGACGTAACGTGAGTGATGGTACCTCCCTGTAATCTAACGTCCCTTGCATCTAAAATACACGCTTGTTTGATTCAAAATGAGTTTTTATATCTAGCTATGGGTTGAATGAAAGGTAAAGTAATGTTACTTCTGTGTTGCAGACTACAGTTTGAGAAGACTGTAACAGCACAATTGCAGGACAATTTTTCATGTCCTTTTTTGTAATTTAAGTTGCGGCCAACAAAACACATGTTTTCAAAAACGGTGAATGAATGGATTGAATTTTTCTGTCCATTTTTTAGTACACCTTACGCCAAGGTTGTTGTATGGCTGGTTTAAAGATATAGTCCATCATTTGTGATTTGTGCATTTTTTTCGTTTGAAGCAACAAAAGTGATCAAAATCTAATGAAGGATACTGAACAACTAACCTGATGAAGTTTCAGCTCAGCTTCAGCTGTATATTCCGAGAAAAACAGCATTCTAGGATCTCAATTTCAAATCAAAAGTTGCTGAATCATGTTTTAAATTGGGCCTGAATTCAGCATCCGAGACGCGTTCTCACTGAGCCGATTGCAGCTATATGCAATGTCACGTACCGATCCGACGAATTATAGCAACCGCGCGTGCGTCGTGCCAATGCTTGCGCGCACTTCGCTGAATAACAAAGTGAACTACTAATTTAAAGTTTCCTACGGTGCTTCTTAAGACGCACCGTTGGAAAGGCCTTCTTTTGTTGATTACTTCAAAATGACAGCTTGCCAGAAAGAATAATTTCACAGGGAGTTTAGTCCACTTACTATCTTTCAACCAAGTATGTTCTTCAACATTAATTATGCCAGTTACTTTTCGGATGGCTGCAAATGATGGAATATAGGTTTAATTCAGCTTGATCAAATACCTTTGAAGCAGTGAGAGGTCAAAGTAGCCTCATTGCATATGTAAGGTGAGTGACAGTGGGGTTGCCCTTTAACGCATTGCCAACGATGCCCGACGCTCACGCAATGACGCTGTATGTACACTCAGAATAAATTTAGTCATGCATAATAGTGCTTCACAAGGCTCTTGAATTATTATTATAATTATGATCGTTATGGTTTACGATCACCATATAGCAGCTCAAAAGATGAATTGCACAGCACAGTGATTTACAATGAAAAGGTAAAAATATTAAAAATTAAACACAATTCAAGAGAAATTAAACATCCGCAAATACAATCCATTATTCTAAATATAAATCACTCTTGGATAATAGTAATTAAAACATTTAACCAGATATAAATTCTATGTTGAGCTATTGATGAGTCTGGTGAAATAGGGTACTGGGCTATTTCTAAATCTCTTGGATGAGATGGGATATTCCTCAAAGTGTTCCACTCGATCAAAGCTGGCAGGCCAGTAAAATCGGTCCGAGATCGGGCCTAATCACGATTTGCATGCCCTCAAATTCTTCAGTATTTGAGCAATTTTTGTGAAATTTGGATAAAATTGGGGAGCTAAAAGCCTTCTATTTTTCAAAGCGCTTTACATTATTATAACCCCTGATCTTTGCACTAATTAAATATCCAAATACCATCTCAGATCCCTGGGGAGTATACAGCTCGATGCTGCCTGTTAGGCGCAAGGAAGCTAATTCAACCACAATAACCATCTCTGCCCTCACAGGTACCCATTTACTCCTGGGTGGAGACAAGCAATGAGTGACAAAGTGCCTTGCCCATGGGCACACATACCAGAACCCCAGGCTGGACTGGAACCTACAACCCACAGAATTACCTATGGTAGTACAGGGCGAGTCAACAAAAGCGGAACCCAAACCCCGAAAATCACATTTCATTTTTTTAAAAATATGTAGCACCAAACATAATATTGACTGGAAAGCCAATTTCATCTATTGTTAGATGAAAAAATTACTGAAATTACTCAATCCGTTCAAAGAATATCACCATTTACACACAATGACCCTAAAACCTCTTTCGTCCAAAAATGCGATTTCAAGAATTATTGTCACAATTGTCTTCCAACATCACCAGCTATAAAACCTCTGTTTAAAAGTAAAAAATATTCAACAAAGTCCTTTTGAAGGCCCGTCTTTTAAAAAATCTGGATTTATATATCATATTGTTTGCCTAACCAAGATATTGTGTACCACACTTGTCGACAGTTGTTAAAACAAGTATTCTGTGTCATTTTCTTTCTTGTTCCAAACATTCAGAATATACACTGAACTGCTTTTTTGTTGTTGGATGAAACAGCTTTTAGGGTTATTGCGTTTAAATGGTGATATTCTTTGAGCGGATTGAGCAATTTCAGTAATTTTTCTCTAAAAGTAGCTTATGAGATAGGATTTCCAGTCATTATTATGTATGGTGCTACATATTTTTTCAAATATGAAATATGTTTTTTGGGGTTTGGGTTCTGCTTTTTTTGACTGCAACCACTGGGTCTTACCTCCGTCTGCAGCCTATCCCAGCCAGATGTAAGCCCCGCCTGGCCATCCTTGCCATAATTCTTCATTCCATTGGCCAGGTCATCAGTCACTACAGTCTCCACCTGTCCCTTGTAGATGAAACCAACGATGCCGGCCACAACCTCCAGAAGGAAGATCAGCAGCAGGAAGATGAAGAACTACAAGGAGAGAAAGGAAACAGGACTCAAGAAGGCAGCTCCGTAAGCATCCAGGAGAAGTTGCGGTAGGCCTATAGACAAATCCGGCAGAAGCCATTCTCTGCGGTGGCGCAAAGCTTGCATGAGTTGCACTCAGGTAGCACATGCACTCCGGGCTCCTTTGACCAATAGGAATAGTAAAATGTGTGTGCGCCTCGTCTTTAAGAATGCATGCAGCATGTGCGTGAGCGTGACACCACCGCAGTAAAAGCTTCTCATTCTGGTCGCCGGATTCCACTAAAGGTTCCGATTGCATGACATCAAAGTACAACATGGCCATCAGGTTTTCTCGTGATTGGCTACCTTACAGCTGGCAAGTGTCTGGTTAACCTAGACGGTAGGGCTTATTTTCAAGTAAAACAACCACAAATTAAAAACCTCCTGATATTTAAGCAGTCACAGACAGTCGAAATTCACTTACACTTCCCCTGCTATGCTTTTCAGATCATAGTGTCAAGCAAGCACTGTGACTAGTCATTTGAACTGGGTTAACCGATAAAGCAGGCACGTTGTGGGCACAGCTGTTTTATCACTCACCCTGGAGTCAAAGCATAGCTGTATTAAGTTTAAACAGTCCCAGCCAGTCAATCCTGCTTTATGTAGGCTGGGAGCTCTCAACTGTTGAAAACGGTCACTTGATTGATTTTGACTGCAAGGACAACTTGGCATAGAATGGATGTTTGCATAGGCTAGGAGGGTTATTCAAATTGCGTAATGTTCACTACTGTCGGTATACTTCACACAAAAGTGAAACTAATTTCATGACGTCAACTACTGAATTTTCATTGTGACACTCCCCATTACCCCGACGAATTCACTTCAGCACTGAAAAGAATTCCAATTCCACTCTTTGACCCAACCTAAGCTGGGTGTTACTCACCAGCAGGAGCAGGCAAGCACTCTCCTTGATGGCACCGCAGCATCCCAAGAAGGCCACAAACATGACGATGATACCGGCTGCGATGCAAACATTGGCGGCGTTCAGGAACGGCAGGTCTGGAATCAGCGTGGCAAAACCGCCTTCCTTGACATGAAGGACGATACCCAGGGCCAGAATGGCACAGCCCGAGATCTGTGAACGATACAAAGGAAGATACGGAACATGTGGCCTGTGTTTTACCTGGTCAACCGACTGGTTGCTTGGCTGCTAAAATGGCTGCTACACTGACTGATGAAACAGCTGCTAAATTGGGGGAAAGTACTTGCTTAAGTATCTACCAGATTGGCTTGTGAAATGGCTGCCAAACATGCTCATAAATGGATGCCCAAATTAGGTGCTAAATTGGTGATTGAAGTGGCTGCTAAAATGGTAATTAAAATGGCTGGTGAAATGGCTGCTAAAGTGGTCAGTGAAATGGCCGCTAAATGTTCTTGTGAAATGATTGCTATAATTACCAGCTAAAGAGAATTGCCATTCTCTGACCTGTTATTCATTTGGTTGACAAGTAAATTGGCTTGTTAAATGGCTTGCTATTTGAATGAATAGAAATGTATATAAATAGTTGGCTTGTGTAAACTGGCTGTCATATTTTCCTCTTAAGTCAAAATACGTAAAAATTGTATCTTAGTTGATGCTTTTTGCTGGGTCAAGTGGCTTACATAACATATGTTGGCTTCCAAAGTGGCCATTGTAACTGGCCTGTAAATTTGGCTCGTGAGTTTTCCAACAACAATGAATTCTTGGATAAACATCAACTTACAAAGAACAGGAGGTTGAAGATGAACACCAGATACTTGATGCACTTGGCACACCCTTCCACCATCTTGAAGTTTCTTATTTCTTCACAGCTTCGTCAACAAAAGATCTGAAAAGTTTTAAAAGAAAACACGAAGCTTGATCAAAGAAGAGTTCAATGTAATATACCGGTTTGCTTTTGCTGTAATTTTCAGAAATGGATTGATTCGGGGGTTAGTATTTTATAACAAATATTGTTACAATGTTTAAAGTTTTGTGTGTTTATATATGTTGGAAAAACCAAGAATTGGGGAATTGTTACAATGTGGGTCAGTGAACCAGACTATTGTACCTGACTTGCACCCGATTGCAAACAAAATGTGGACTAACTAAATTTGGTAAATTAGGGGCAGTATTTGAAAAAAGGCAGTTTTTTTCCAACGATGGTTGGCCGACAATCGTTGGAAATTGAAACAAAAATTCCACTTATTTTGAAAATGACAGCACACCAGGTGCCATGATTTCACAGGATGCTAGAGACTATTATGCACTCACAGTCAAGTTACATATTTCCATTAATAATTTGGCATTTTTTCTTTTTTTGCAAATGTTGTAAATTACCATTTTGTGGCCAAATTCTGGGTAATTTCAGAAGACATAGTTATTTATGTTGGTCCCCGAGGGCTGCCTCAAGTCATACCTATGGTATCTCGCTGACACACTGACTGATAGTGAGTCAGTGAGAGTCAGATGTGTTTATTCCAGTCAATCCAACCCACAATACCAACAGACCAGTAGCCAAAAGACGTGGACCACACCAATTCATCAAATTCCCAGCCAGAACAGAGAAACATGTATTATCTCTTACCCCCCCCCCCCACCCAATATAACACCCAAGAAAATACATGTACTTGTCAGTTGATTGGAGGATTATAGGTCAAGCAGCATTCATTAATCGAACCATGGACCATTGCAGGGCCGGCCTACGTCATAAGCATGCATGTTTGGTGCCATTCACCATGTATTTTCATCCCATCCCTTTTGATCTATTGGACGCTGCGTGCACGCTAAGACGAGCAGCTATACCCGCTACATGATCTTTGTGCTATTTAGACCATATCATGCATTATAGAAGTACAAACCAAAAAGAAAGTCCCCCCCCCCCTTAATACTTGTTTGTCTAACTCAAAAACTAATGGGCACATCTTGCTAAAATGACGACTGATCAGAACAGAAATCCCTTAGCAATCCAGCCATACTCTTTGGCCGAAAACAGTGATAATGTGTACACAATTTGGCAATTTATGACAAATGGTACCGAAAAAAAGTTGCACTTTTGTATACGTGCAAGGCGAGCGTGAACCACAACTTGCACATATACAAAAGTGCAACTGTTTTCAGTATCATTTGTCATAAATTGCTTAAATTTGTACACGTTATCACTGTTTTGGGCCAAATAAAATGTGGCTGGATTGCTAAGGAATTTCTGTACTGATTAGTCGTTATTTGAGCGAGAGGTGCTCAGTAGTTTTTGAGTTAGACAAAAAGTATTGGAAGGGGGGCTTTCTTTTTTGGTTGAGTGTAGATTGTCACTTGTGAGTGGGGCTGTGCTCTTGTAAAGGATGGCCCAGTAACATGATTTATTTCTTTAAAAAAAACACCAATACAAATGAAGTATTAATAAGTAAAAAGAGCATGTTCTTCCACTCATCTAAAAAAGGAATTACTGAAATTTATACATGCTATTAGAAGTTATGCATGTTTTACCGAAAGAACCTATTTTTACAGCAATCCGTGGACTGCCATTGTAACTTTGGAAGCTATGAGCCGCTGATTGAGAATTACACACAAACATTCAAATACAAATGAGATTTTGTTCATTTGAGTCAAGACACATTTTTGAACAGTCAGATTTTTTGTTTTGAATACATATGTGGAATAAGTCAACTTTTTGTTTTCCTGAAATATTGCGGGCGTTTTGGGTCTGTTTTCCTTTGCAAGTTTTCGTTCATTCATGGAGGTGGGAAAACATCCATATTCATTGTGTGAAATGTTTATTCATCAGTTTGTAGAATGGGAAATGATCAGTGGCCAGACAGCAGAATTTTGTGAATTTCTTTTATTTATATAGACATAACTTGGGAATACATGCAAATTCGGTGAAACTTTCACTGTTACTGGTGAATTACAAGTACTTTTTCCCTTTGTTACTTTTATGAAATGGAGCGAGCAACATTTTTTTGAAAATGTCTTTTTTTTAATTCGGTCACCTTTGACTCGCCCTGTAATGAATGGGGAAATCTGGTCAACTGTCTAGACCAAAATTATGAAAAGAATTTTAGGTAAAAAAGCTATTCAGAGAATCAATTGAATGGAATTGCGTGCACTCTGGCAGGTTGACTGGGCTTAACTAATCTTGTTAGCGCTCCATACAGGTTGAATTTGTTTGCAAATATTACAACCATAGTTCCCAACTTTGGCCTCGACGCATTATCCGAAGGACTTCCATAAAAATGAAATTTAATGAAACAGGAAAAAGTAATACTTGGAGCCTTGAGGTCTAGAATAACACAAAGGCGTCGTCGCTGCACAGGCGTTCCGCATGGCTGACAGTGCGTGTGACATGAACAGCCCCAGCACTTCAGACCAACAACAACCCCACTAACTAAACACAGACTTCCAATTTTCAACCCACGCTAAACTTCCTTTTATAAATTTCAAAAGAGGAAGTTTGCTTGCTTGTTCCTGTATGCTGGAGTTAATAACGGGCATGTTGTTGGCAAACCAACCACTGTGGGATATTCCAAATAGTGTTTTTTCGTTTTAGACAGTTCATACCCATGGTATAGACAGTAAGGCCAAAAAAAAGTCTCCGGTTTCTGGTATGCGCGCGCGTCGCCGTAGCCATGCGCGTCGGCAAAATGAAAAATTTTTTTTTTCAATGAAAGATGATGTCTCAAAACCGCCAAACTCACTGGTTTGAAATTGAATAGAATCCTGCTGCTGCACAATTTTAACGTGTTTTTAGATGGGGTTATGATCGAGAATAAGCTTTATGTGGCCTCTCTGGACTCCCATATATTTGCACTAAGTTTAGTCGGGCACCATTTGCAGTCATCAGCCGACATTTGAAGCAAAAAAGTCGGGTAAAAAAAAAAAAAAAAACGCGTCGCCGCACCACTTTTTGGACAAGCTCCATACCAGAAACCGGAGACTTTTTTTTTTTGGCCTAAACATAACATGTCCTTTCCAAAACAATAAGTCCCTCCAACTTGGCCCATCCAATCATTGCCAAGACTGTTCTTATGCTTTCATTATTACTAATGAACAAGATAGGTTACACATTCAGCCAAAAATCATTTAGTTGTCAATTAGCGAGGCAGCATTTTTCCCCCTCTTGTAAATTCTGGTATATTGGTTAGGCCAAAAAAAAAATAGTTCTGCTTCCGATTACATGGCATTCCAAAATAGGGTAGGTAGGTAGGTAAATTATTTTTTTTTGCTAATTTTTTGTGTGTACAATCATATTGAAGCGTCTGCGTGTAGTCAAGGGCAAAAGGTAGAAATTGATGGTTTTGGGTAATTTTTCCTCATTTTTCCAATAAAAAAGTTAGGGTAGGGGCTGTCAGAATAGGGTAGGTAGGGAAACCGGAAGCAGAACTATTATTTTTTTTTGCCTTATTACAACAATGCACGTGGAAATACAACTAAACTGTTCAGTGTTCAGATGTTGCAATGGATGTTGTCGTCTTTGTTCAATTTCTATGCCCTATATCACGTCCCCTACAGTCAGCCAGGGTGGTAACTTTGAGTAGCCTAACAAACACGTTGTAGTGCACGCATGGACATTTTCAACCACCAAGTTTTAGTGGTATTCAAATCCAGTTTAACTTAAAAGGGAAGATACAACATTTGCAACCATCAAAAAATGAAATGATCAAATTATCACGAAATACCATACTGGATTGCTAGGAAATGACAGTCTAAAGCAACCTGTAAAGTCGTGGCTCCTGGTGTGCTGACATTTTCAAGAAAATTTGTATTTTTCCAACGCTGGTCGGCCGACCAGCGTTGGAGAAAACTGGATTTTGTTCAAAAACAGCTCCTACTTTTTCATATTTAGTTGTTCCGCATTTTCTTTGCAATTGATTACACACCTGTGAAGGGGTACAAGCCTGCTTGATTCTCTGACCTTACAATTCCCCGAAGTCTATTAATTGCTCCGTTTCATGTTAAGTGGGGTCAGGGAACCAGACTACAAGAACAAGATAGATAGGTTTTTTGGTTTTTGCAGCATCTACAAGCCCAAAACGTGAAACAAGTCAGTTTAACAATATTTGCTTTAGCATAGGCCTACTAATCCTCCAAATCCATTTATTTCTGAAAATTGCAGCAAAAGCAAATGTTGTACATTCCCTTCAATTGGTTTACCTGTGGATTTTCATATATCGAAGTGCATGGCAATGTTAAATCAAGCAAGCCCATGTCAGTGTTATTAACATTATCTCCCTTGGCCTTTTTGCTACATGTACATGTAGGATGTAGCCTCAATCCTGCAAAATCCTCCAATTGGTCTCATGGAAAAATAACACAGCCTCAATCCTGCAAATTCCTCCATTATTTCTTGACTATAGTCCATGGTGGGGTGACCATTGCCTGAATCCTACAAAATCCTGCTGCAGTGACTGTCAATATGTTGAGGCTTGGCCAGTGACATCCTGGAGCAGTACGGAGGATTTCAAGCACAATCCAGGCCTACATTTATGCATGGCTGAGCAAAAACAAAACAAGGTCCGACCTAAGACCTTGACAAAGTGCATCCTATGAAATCAGTAACATACTTTTGCCATGTAACCTCGATCCTCCAAATTTCTAGAGATTTGCCATTTGTTTTATGCCAGAAGGTTTTAAATCTTCCACCTCTGACTATGATATTCCAATACATTTTGTTTAGAAAAAAAGTCTCTAAGGCATTTTAAAGTTCTTACAAGAACTATTACAGCTCAAAGGTCATTTTATGTTTTCTAACAAAATTGGAATTGTTTCTCAGTCCCAAATTCATGTCTTTTCAACATTTCTGCGATGACTGAGCTTCGTTGAATAACGTACAATGCAAAAAGTGGTGTCAGAATGCAACGTTCTTTCCTTTCCCGTACGATCCTGCAAATTTGCATGTACTGAGCTCAGGGCTGTACACACAGCACATTAACATGCTTCATATTCTTGATATGGGTAGATAAGCAAAGCAACACTTTTGGTTTCTGTGTTAGGCACAATTATGCTTAAAAACTCCTGAAATTGGCCTTGGTAGTAAAAGTGAACTGCCCACAGCATATAACATGCTACATTGTATTCTTGGTACGGGTAGGTAACCATGCAAAGCAACACTTTTGGTTTCTGTGTTAGGCACAATTATGCTTAACAACTCCGTGAATTGGCCTTGGTGGTAAAAGTGAACTGCCCACTCACAGATAACCTTGTACGACCCACTAACCCAACAAAACAAAAACCCACACACCAGCTTGAACAAAACCAAAGACTCTAGCGTAAACTTCCAGCCTATCACACCCACTTGTGTGTGCATTTGGTGAGCAGGTTCACATGCCATGGTTGTACACTGTACGAGCCGTGCAGTCTTTTGCATTGGGTTGGCACACCTCCAGAATCCAAGTCAGAAATATGTGCGTGCAGTTTCACATATGGTGTTGGAATTTGCCAGGATGGGTGGTTCCTAGTAAATCATGCTAGGGAGTTTAGTTAGCGTTAAATGGATGCTTTTGCTGTAACAGGGAAACTTGTGCATGAACAGTGATCATGTGTCTTCCATAGCTTATACGCTATGTTCTCAAACAGCAGAGGGCGCTCTTTCTCTTTGGCTTTAAGCACCACAGCAAAGAATGGGATCATATATCGCATAATGAATGCACATTGCACTTTTTATACTTTTTGTCTTTGGTTGCTAAAATCAATAACCATGGAGGAATAAAAACAATGCCTCCATGGACCAAACAAAGACAAACTTTGAAAAAAGGGACTTCTAGTGCCCAGTTTTAATACCGAGTCCAGCCCGTCCTTGGGGCGGATGTCTATTTTTTGTGAAATTTTGTTAAACTTTTGATATGCAAACGTGTGTAAACGAATCTGGGAATTTCACAAAAAATAGACATCTCAAAAAGGCAGCACAAAGAGGGTGAGTATGCTTCTAAAGCAAAAATAAACTACAAACTAAGCCTAAATGTGAAAATCAAAATTTGACAAAGTTCGACATGTTTTTGTACATGGTGGAAGTGTGGCCTTTATTTACGGAGGAAGTCCAGTAAATTGGGAACATTTATGGGCTAGGCAGGGCCCCGTTATTAAAACTCCACTTTTATTTTAAAGTTAGTCCCCCCCCCCCCCTATTGATTTTCCAAACTAGTTGGCAACATTTAGCCCCATAAATGTGGCCTATTTACTGGACTACCTCCGTAAACATAGGCCACACATCCACATGTACAAAAACGTATCGCACTTTGCCAAATTTTGATTTTCACATTTAGGCTTAGTTTGTAAGGTTTTTTTTGCTTTAGAAGCATACTCACCCTCTATATAGGCTAATCAGAAAGTGCTGCCTTTTTGTCTATTTTTTGTGAAATTTCCAGATTCATTTGCACACGTTTGCGTATCAAAATTTCAACATGAAATTTCACAAAAATTAGACATCTGAAAAAGGCAGCACTTTCTGATTAGCCTATAAAGAGGGTGGGTAGGCTTCTAAAGCAAAAAAAACCTACAAACTAATCCTAATGTGAAAATCAAAATTTGGCAAAGTGCGACACGTTTTTATACATGTGGATATGTGGCCTATGTTCACGGAGGTAGTCCAGTAAATTGGCCACATTTATGGGGCTAGCAACATTAAGAACAATGGGAACGATACTTCTAAGTTCTAGTTCTAGAATTAGAAGTATGGCAAATGTATGGGAAAGTATGTACTTGCATGTCACTATGTCTATTCTGTTTCTGTTTCTGTTCCATAAAACGTTAAACGTACAAACACCTACATGACCTAAGGTTGACGGTTGATGAATAATTTACAAATAAACACAACTTCTTTGGCAGTGTATATTCTAGACTATAGAGAGTCGAGTGAGTTTCTTTACCCTCATGGGGGCCTGGACTTTGCTTTGTACACAACCGCTGAAGTGGCGTCTAATTCTCGACATGCTGGAGGCCTAGTCCGAGTAACTTGGACCCAACTTATCGCCTTTTTTAACATTTGGACATGGTCTGGCGCCAGACTAGCTGGAGTTACCCAGCCCTGAGTTTTATCATTGGGTTGTCTATAAGGGCTGGAGCGAATTTTTCTCGTAACTTGTAGTATTTGCAAAAATTTTTGGAAAATGTTCAATTTTGTCCCCGTTACACACTAATTGCAACTGCAACTCACCCCAAACTTGCCTGGAATAACCATTACACAGGTCCTTGAAGTAAAAAACGATCCACGATGAAGATTCAGCCTACAATTGCAGTGAAAACAGGAGGAATAACCGCTAACTTGACAACCTTGCTGGATTGGCCAGGACCGCAATTGGTTTGTGCACAAAAAAAATTGTGTACAATGAATGGCGGTCGATTAACAGGCACAGAGAGCGATCGCTGTCAACTACTCGTTTTTGCCGGCTGCGCTGGCTGTTGGCGCATGACGTTACGCGGAAGCGTAACACCCGATGACTGTTTCATGCACTAATATGAGGTTTACCACTCGCATCACAGCTTTGGTACTGGAACCGCAACCAATAGTGCATGAAACAGTCATCGGGTGTTACGCTTCCGCGTGACGTCATGCGCCAACAGCCAGCGCAGCCGGCAAAACGAGTAGTTGACAGCGATCGCTCTCTCTGTGCCTGTTAATCGACCGCCATTCATTGTACACAATTTTTTTGTGCACAAACCAATTGCGGTCCTGGCCAATCCAGCAAGGTTGTCAAGTTAGCGGTTATTCCTCCTGTTTTCACTGCAATTGTAGGCTGAATCTTCATCGTGGATCGTTTTTTACTTCAAGGACCTGTGTAATGGTTATTCCAGGCAAGTTTGGGGTGAGTTGCAGTTGCAATTAGTGTGTAACGGGGACAAAATTGAACATTTTCCAAATTTTTTTGCAAATACTACAAGTTACGAGAAAAATTCGCTCCAGCCCTAGATTACAACCCAATGATAAAACTCAGGGCTGGGTAACTCCAGCTAGCGCCAGACCATGTCCAAATGTTAAAAAAGGCGATAAGTTGGGTCCAAGTTACTCGGACTACTGGAGGCCTAACTATACACATTCTTTCCCATTTTGGAATGATAAACTTATTAAGATATCCCTGACTATACATGCTATAAATAATTTTGACCAAAACAAGTAAATGGTGGCCCTACACTTCACCATCGCTAGCACTAGCAGTACGTGTAGTATTGGTGGATCACGCTAAGCCTTTTTCTATGGCCTCGCACAGGTATCATCATGGAGCTTGGAACATGTACATGTACATGTATGTATGTGTAGGTAGGCCCACCTAAACGAAATTTATTACTGCAACAATGCCAATGTTACTGTTATTGTTAATCAGTAGCATGACAAGTGAAGTACTGAAGTGGGCATAGAGCTGGTTATTCCAAGATACACAATCAGCCACTTTTCATGTTTTATTTTTTTTTTCCAAAGGTGTATTTTATTGTCTAATAAATATGCATTTTTCTCACCAAATCCACCCGCAGTTTTCCGATTAGACCTCCAAACGCTGCTAGCTGCACTCATCGTATGCGACAATATGCGCGCTAGCCCTAATTTTTGATGCATCGGCTCGACCATTTTGTAAACAGGGGCATTATCTTCTTCGCCTTTCTTGCGCATCCTCATTTATCAATAAGTAAAGGCATTTTATTGCTCCTTGGAAACACTGAAATCAGTGGCGGATCCAGTAGGGTGTGGAGGGGGTACCCCACCCCGGCAGAGATCGAAATGTTCTTGGAGAAGGATATTTTTTTCAGTAGAGAGAGCCCCTTCGCCCCCCGCGGCACACCCTCCGCTCGGCCCCGGCATGGCACATCTGTAGCCTCCTGGGATGGGTCCGCCCTTGGAAATGGGTGATTCCATAAAGGGGGCCAATGAATTTTGCTTTTCCTCAATAATTGTTTATTTCCCTAGTATTACCAAAAGTGAAATATATACAAATGATTTTACTTGCTCAAATTATAGTACCTTAACGCAAATATCTGGTAGCAAAGGATGAAACAATTGACTAATTTCCCGACAGTGTGGGCAGTGGCGTAGCCAGGAATTTTTCAGTGGGGGGGGGGGGGGGGGGGGGGGGGGGGGGGGGGGGGGGGGGGGGGGGGGGGGGGGGGGGGGGGGGGGGGGGGGGGGGGGGGGGGGGGGGGGGGGGGGGGGGGGGGGGGGGGGGGGGGGGGGGGGGGGGGGGGGGGGGGGGGGG